GTTCTTGTCACACCAGTCTTTGTGTTTTCTGGTGGAGGGCCCCAGACACTCGAAGGCTGTATTGTACACTGTAATACGAAGAGTGTTCCATGCTGCTTCCACGTCGTGGTCATCCAGCACGGTGGAGTTCAGGCGTTCTCCAGAGTATCAGCAAAGTACTGAGAGGTGGAAGGCAACTTGAGCTTGCCAACGTTTTGGAGCCTTGGTCCTCTGAGGACGTATCTTGGGTTTGATCCGGAAGTTGAGTTTAGAGACGATGAGACGGTGATCTGTCCAGCACCCCGCGCCACACATAGCCTTGGTGACACGAATGTGTCTCTCTTCCTGACGATGACGTAGTCAATGAGATGCAAGTGCTTTGAGCGAGGGTGCATCCATGACGTCTTGTTACGGGTGGGAAGGCAGAAAACGGTATTTGTGATGAGAAAGCCATGTTCAGCGCAGGTCTGGAGAAGCAGTAGGCCGTTACTGTTGCACTTGCTCACTCTATGCTTCCCAATAACGCCTTCCCAGGTGGTGGTGGTGTCACGTCCAATTCTCGCATTAAAGTCACCAAGAATATGAGCTTGTCGGCGTTGGGGACGACATTGATGACATTGTGGAGGACCTCATAGAACTTGTTTTTAGTCTCCTCTAGGTTAGTCAGGGTAGAAGCGTATGCGCTGACAATAGTGGCGAACTTTCCTCGAGTGAGGCGAAGTCTCATCGTCATCAGGCGGTCGTTCACTCCGTTAGGTACGCCGACTATTTTGCCAGCAAGTGTCGTCTTTATAGCAAAGCCTACACCAGCTTCTCGTCTCTCCTCGGCTCCTCGTTCACTTCAAAAGAAGGTGTAGCCAACGCCTATTTCACAAAATTCACCTTCTCCAACAAACCCGGTTTCACTGAGAACTGCAATGTCAATGTTATATTTCGCGAGTTCGCTTGCGATCAGTGCTGTGCGTCTCTGGGGTCTGTCTGTAGTGTCTCTGTCGAGAAGTGTTCGAACGTTTAACGATCCAAGGTACAGTGGGATGATCCTTGTTTTCTTCTTGTTTTCTTTGTTATTTCGACTGTATGTGTAGGGTCCCCACCAGCCGCGGTAGACTGGCTAGGGAAGGTGGAGCAGGCAATGTTTGGGATACTTTCTCTAATCCGCTCCTCTTGCCATGGAGGTGAGCAGTGCGTTCCTATAGAGGGCTGCTCAGTCGCACAGGTGGCTGACGAACTCCAACGCTGCTGTGGTCGGTGAAGAGCGGTGAAAAGATATTCAAACACCTACTGTTGACGTTTTTAGTGCTCTTAAATTGATGCCTATTCATGATTATTTTATATATAGAAAACTTGTCCTTGCTTTTAAAGTTATGAAAAGATTTGCATGTTTTTAGATATGTTAGCCAGGTCTGCTCTAGGGCAACAAGGAGTAGTGTTAGTGGCCTTTTATACATTCCAAAAGCACGAACAGAGTATTATAAACGATCTTTTAATGTTTCAACTGCAATTTTATGGAACCAGTTGCCTGGTTAAAGTACTTCAGTAAATTTTGAAATCCATAAAGTTTTTTTTTTTTTCAAAACTCAACGGTATAAATTGAATGTGTTGATAACGTTGATCGCTTATGACGTCAATATGAAATTACGTAGATCGCTTATGACTAAACAATCAATTTATGGTCACATGACGAATGTGTTTTACGATGTAAAAACGCCTTGTTCACATAGTGTTTTATAAGGGAAAACATTTGCAAATGTAAATATAAAAAAAAAATACAGCTTACATTAAAGCTATACGTCCCGTTAAATACTATAATACGCATATTTGTGTCGCAGTAACAAAACCGACTAGAATCAAAATCACTCTAATCAATCTCTCCTATTAATTGCTTATAATTTTTTAAAGAAGAAATTGACAACTTCTTGATTTTCACATTTCATTTATCACGAATTTTTTCCCAAAAGAACTTCTTGTATAGTAAAAAAATCTTTACCAAACTGTGAAACTATGTTTAGCTCATTTTTGAGATTTTGGCGCGCCATATATATATATATATATATATATATATATATATATATATATATATATATATATATATATATATATATATATATATGCTCGTTTTTATTTTCTTTTATCTTCATAAACAGTGTCAAAACTCCGCTTGCCTAGTAGAAAAGTCGAATTCAATCATGTTCAATGGTATGTGCTAATCCTGGTTTAGCGCTCGGACTGGCTCCCCATACAGATGAATATACAAAAGTTAGAGCAACGAAAAAATTGACTTAATGCTTATACAATGTAATTATACCCCATGCTTGAAAAGCGGGAGGGTATTTAGTAATCGGTATGTCCGTCCTTCCGTCTGTCTGTACGTCCGTCCGTCCATCTGTCTGTTACGCTTTGGAGTACCCATCTCTTATCCGCAACTCCTCTCATACCACTGAGTAGTCCGCAAAATCTGACGTTTTCCTGGCTCTTTTTTACGATTTTGATACTTTACATGGCAGGGAAACGTCAGAACCGATAAAATTTAAATTCAGCATTTAATTCGGTTTGCAAGTATCGAAAATCAACCCGAGAATGCCACCTCTGGTTGGAGGCGGCGAATTCCCAAATTTCGTAATTGCGCCGGATCTGACGTTTTCCTGGCATGATAAACAGAAAAATCGTAAAAAAAAAGCCAGAAAAACTTCAGTTTTCGGACTAACCACTGAATGAAATTTGACGAAACTTTCAGAGAATCTTTATTACATATTGACATTGTGCACCTCTTATTTTACTTATTGATCTGACACATATTTTGGGTTTCCCACAACAAAACATGGCCACTGCCATTATATTCATATGGGAGGCGTGGGTATCATTTAGTGAGCTCATTGCTCACAGTATCTCTAGTAGTGTGACTATCTTTATTGATACCATATCGCTATATCAAATAAGTATTAAGAAAACTAATCAATAAAACGGCTGCTTTCGTTTTGTTTCTGATAAAGTTCGTTAATTAATTAAGCACTCTTTAACACATTTTCGTGCATTACGTTACGCAGAACTAAATACGCGTAAAGAGCGTCCACCGGACAAATATGTCGAACCCACTAGATGTTGCGTAAAATATTAATTAAAAGAATAAATTTATCAATCTTATATTTAATTTGATTGTTTGGATTAGCACATTATGAACACATAATTATACCCCTGCTTGAAAAGCAGGAGGGTATATAGTAATCGGTATGTCCGTCTGTCACGCTTTGGGGTAACCATCTCCTATCCGCATTTCCTCTCATACCGCTGAATGAAACTTGATGAAACTTTCACAGAATCTTTATCAAATAGTATTGCCATTGTGACCTTCTATACTACTTTTTGATCTGAGACATATTTTTATTTTCCCATAGCAATCATGGACACTGTCATTATATTCATGTGGGAGGCGGGGTATCATTTAGTGAGCTCATTGCTCACAGTACCCCTATTTTTTTGACAGGGATCGGGAAGTTCTATTTATTACCTATCCAAAATCAACAATTTTGCAAGAATAGAGCGGCAATTAAAAATTAGGGATCACTTTACCCGGCATTTGTCTGTCTGTTTGTCTGTCAGTCGTCTGTCTGTCACAATCTATGAAATAAGATAAGATTTATCGTATCCCTGCTTGAAAAACGGGAGAGTATATGCTAGTAATCGGGATGTCCGTCTGTTACGATTGTTACGCTTTGGGGTACCCATCTCTTATCCGAAACTCCTCTCATACCACTGAATGAAATTTGATGAGACTTTCAAAGAATCTTTATTATATATTGCCATTGTGCTCCTCCTATTTACTTTTTGGTTCGACACACTGTGGCACATTGTATCTGACATATCGTGGGTTTCCCATAGCAAAACATGGACACTGCCATTATATTTATTGATATCTCGAGGAGGTATGGATTTGGTATTTTGCACATATATAGCTCTGCACTAGGGCTTTTATATTTTACCATGGTGACCGACCTATTAGACCTTTTTTCGTTCTTGACCTTTAAACTAATTGTTAAAAAATTAATTAATAGTCCTAACTATTTTTATACTCCTGCTTGAAAAGCAGGGGTGGAGGTGGGAGTGTATAGTGTTCGGTATGTCGGACCCGTCCGTTTGTACGTCCGTCTGCTACGCTTTGGGTTACCCATCTTTTATCCACTGATTGTAATTAAATGAAATTTTCACAGATTCTTTGTTACATACTGCCATTGGGACCTCAAATTTTACTTTCTGACACATATTTCGGGTTTCCCATGGTAAAACATACACACTGCCATTCTTTCTATAATACTGAAGCGTACTACTCTTTTCCGCAACTCCCCCAACACCACTGAATAAGACTTGATGATACTTTTACAGATTCTTTATAGCAATTCTATTGTGCACCTTCAATTTAACTTTTTTCATCTGACACTTATTTCGGATCTCCCATAAGCCAGCCAAAGCTAAACATGGATTTTGTCACTATAATCATATGGGAGGTGGGGGTATCATTTAGTTAGCTCATTGCTCACAGTTTCTCTAGTTTTTGAACACAGCTTTCAAATTTCAACCGTGGAGTTTGATCTACTTTATAAAACCTTCGCTTTAACTGTCGGAGCTAGGGCTTTTATATTTTTCTTGTGAAATAAGTAAAATAAGAGGTGCACAATGTCAATATGAATGAAAGCTGCCATATGGGGGCATCAGTGTTTCCTAAACACACCTTGTTTTTTTGTTTGTTTGTTTTTTATATCGATCACCGTTTCCTTACCTTCACCGTTTTTCAGCATTTAAATTGAAATTACTTTGCATTCAAAAATCTGTTTGTTTATATGTCTTTCAGAAAATACAAATGGTACAAGAGGAATTAATATTGCAAAACTTTTTGAAAAATACGTATATATGGGCCGTCCCAAGTTTCTTGGAGGGGGTAAAGCGGAGATTAATCTTCCCTCAACCAATATTTTACGGGTGCCATTTTTATGATTCAGTTCTTTCAAGTCTTTCCAGGTTCAGTAAAATTCAAAGAGACGAAAAATGATCTGATTAATACATGTTTAAGGGGATTGCTATCGCACACACATACACACACAAAATGAAAAATCTCAAAAGCCACTGTGCCAGAAAAAATGAATCTGACGTGAAATACATTATAAATTGATAATTTTATGTCCTCTTTCGATAAAAGCGGACACAATAGTAAATCAACGTATTACAGTGAAAATCTGACGAAGAACAGCAGAGCTACAGTGAATCAGTTGAGCGTTGAAGCCCAGTGGCTTCTTGTTAGTTCCTTTGTTGAAATTCCTTGTATTTTTTAATGGCTTCAATACACTTTATCCTTTGTCCAATGTTTAAATTTAATTCTTCTTTCATTTCCTTTTCACCCAAGGCCAAGAATACTTGTAAACAGTCGATGTCATTTTCTATGAGTACATCTGTTAATTCACTGAGTCCGCTCTTTTGAAGAAAATGCTTGAACTCATCAAACTTGGAACCTGAGTATGAAAAAAAATCATGTTTAAAATATTATACATTTGGATTCGTTTGTCCATTCTACATTAAGTCATTTGATTGTTTTTGTTCTGTCCATCCGTCTGTTTAACTGTCTGTCTGTCGCAAAGAATCAACATTGCCAAAACTTTTCATTGCTTAAAGTTATGGCGTTTATGTTTTACAAGTGTATGAAAAAATTCCTTGTAACAAGATTTGTCTTTGGATACCAAAATATTTGACCTCTTTATCTTCACTGATGCATAACCAAACTTAGTCTTAGCCATAACTTTTAACAGTTGATGCTAAGACTTGTATATTTCTTTGGACAAGACCTCTCTTTGAGAACCAACAATTTTTGCCTTTTAGCCTACTTTGAAATAAAATCCTTTAAACGGTTAATGCAATGGCTTTCATTTTTAGCTCTACTGGTCAGAGACCAGAAGAGCTTATGCGATAGTAATGCGTCCGGCGTCCGTCCGTCTGTCCGTCTGTCTGTCTGTCTGTAAACAATTTTTCAAAATGCTACTCCTCCTACAGTTTTGATCTGATTTCAATATAACTTGGCACACAAGTAGACTACACTAAGATACATAATTCTGTGTATTGGATTTTGATTTCGACGAACGGTGTTGGCGTTGTTACTAAAAATAGAAATTTCTATGAAATTCTTTCAAAATGCTACTCCTCCTACAGTTTTGATCTGATTTCAATATAACCTGGCACACAAGTAGACTGCACTAAGATACATAATTCTGTGTATCAGTTTTTGATTTTGACGAACGGTGTTGGCGTTGTTACTAAAAATAGAAATTTCTGTGAAATTCTTTCAAAATGCTACTCCTCCTACAGCTTTGGTATGATTTCGATATAACTTGGCACACAAGTAGACTACACTAAGATACATAATTCTGTGTATCAGTTTTTGATTTCGACGAACGGTGTTGGCGTTGTTACTAAAAATAGAAATTTCTGTGAAATTCTTTCAAAATGCTACTCCTCCTACAGTTTTGGTCTGATTTCAATATAACTTGGCACACAAGTAGACTACACTAAGATACATAAATCTCTGTATCGGTTTTTGATTTCGACGAACGGTGTTGGCATTGTTACTAAAAATAGAAATTTCTGTGAAATTCTTTCAAAATGCTACTCCTCCTACAGTTTTGGTCTGATTTCAATATAACTTGGCACACAAGTAGACTACACTAAGATACATAATTCTGTGTATTGGTTTTTGATTTCGACGAACGGTGTTGGCGTTGTTACTAAAAATAGAAATTTCTGTGAAATTCTTTCAAAATGCTACTCCTCCTACAGTTTTGGTCTGATTTCAATATAACTTGGCACACAAGTAGACTACACTAAGATACATAATTCTGTATATCGGTTTTTGATTTTGACGAACGGTGTTGGCGTTGTTACTAAAAATAGAAATTTCTGTGAAATTCTTTCAAAATGCTACTCCTCCTACAGTTTTGGTCTGATTTCAATATAACTTGGCACACAAGTAGACTATACTAAGATACATAATTCTGTATATCGGTTTTTGATTTCGACGAACGATGTTGGCGTTGTTACTAAAAATAGAAATTTCTGTAAAATTCTTTCAAAATGCTACTCCTCGTACAGTTTTGGTCTGATTTCAATATAACTTGGCACACAAGTAGACTAACTAAGATACATAATTCTATGTATCGTTTTTGATTTCGACGAACGATGTTGGCGTTGTTACTAAAAATAGACATTTCTGTAAAATTCTTTCAAAATGCTACTCCTCCTACAGTTTTGGTATGATTTCAATATAACTTGGCACACAGGTATACTACACTGAGATACATAATTCTGTGTATCGGTTTTTGATTTCGACGAACGGTGTTGGCGTTGTTACTAAAAATAGAAATTTCTATGAAATTCTTTCAAAATGCTACTCCTCCTACAGTTTTGATCTGATTTCAATGTAACCTGGCACACAAGTAGACTACACTAAGATACATAATTCTGTATATCGGTTTTTGATTTTGACGAACGGTGTTGGCGTTGTTACTAAAAATAGAAATTTCTGTGAAATTCTTTCAAAATGCTACTCCTCCTACAGTTTTGGTCTGATTTCAATATAACTTGGCACACAAGTAGACTACACTAAGATACATAATTCTGTGTATTGGTTTTTGATTTCGACGAACGGTGTTGGCGTTGTTACTAAAAATAGAAATTTCTGTGAAATTCTTTCAAAATGCTACTCCTCCTACAGTTTTGGTCTGATTTCAATATAACTTGGCACACAAGTAGACTACACTAAGATACATAATTCTGTATATCGGTTTTTGATTTTGACGAACGGTGTTGGCGTTGTTACTAAAAATAGAAATTTCTGTGAAATTCTTTCAAAATGCTACTACTCCTACAGTTTTGGTATGATTTCAATATAACTTGGCACACAAGTAGACTATACTAAGATACATAATTCTGTGTATCGATTTATGATTTCGACGAACGGTGTTGGCATTGTTACTAAAAATAGAAATTTCTGTAAAATTCTTTCAAAATGCTACTCCTCCTACAGTTTTGGTCTGATTTCAATATAACTTGGCACACAAGTAGACTACACTAATGTACATAATTCTTTATATCCGTTTTTGACTTCAATGAACATTATTACCTTGCTTAATAAAGATAGCAATATCTGTTACTCTCAAAATGCTACTTCAAATACAGTTTTAGTCTGATTATAATATAATGTGGCATGCAAGTAGACTACACTAAGAACATAAAGAGACTTATTCAAGGATCATTATTCTCTTTTTCGCTAGTGTAAAATTTCAATTCCCAACTGCTTAAGCACTTTCCTTTGTTATAAGTACAAACCAGCAGAGCTTCAGTCTCGACAGAGACTTCTGGTTCATATGTGTATTCCTTGTGATGTTCAAAATCTTGGGAGTGTGACCTTTTTTGAAAACCTTCATCACAGGCTGTAAATTATGAATTGTTCGTGCTAGGCTTTTATATTCAGAGGTACATTCCTTTGGCATTCATATTCCACATATATATATATATATATATATATATATATATATATATATATATATATATATATATATATATATATATATATATATATATATATATATATCACTTGAGACAAGTTCTTCCCCTGAGTACCAACAATTTTGACGACCCAGACCTTTAGTTTTGACCTACTTTTGAAAAAAAAACTTTAACCATGGTCATTTCTATTGGATGGTTAGTGGCATTGATGTTTATTCCTTGTGACCTTTCTTTGAATACAAATATGTTGATCTCTTAACATCGACCTTAAAGTTTGACCGATATTCAATTTACTTTAATCTTAGAAAGAAGCTGTTATGCAGAGGTAGCAGTCTTTCAAAAACACATCTTGTTTTGGACTTGTATAGTTACTGTGAGTAGATAAATCTTATTTACCTTTGGCTCCAGCGTATATAATTTTTCGAATATTATTTTTGTGTCATTGTGTATTTAATTTTCACAAAGGAAAGGACATTCAAAGTTTCAATAACTTGTGTCCGATTCTTCTTAACATCTGAACAGTAAAATACTTTACAAACCAAAGAAAGACCAAATGTTGACTATGTTGCCTTGGTTTAAATTCACTAAGTATACCAAAAAATTAAGGTATGAAAAAATACTCTAAAAATGAATGTAGCCATTATAGCAGTTTTATGCCTGTCGTACTTAAAAAAACTCTAATATACATTGAAAAATAAATCTTCTATCAAGGCCCATAGGAAGCATGTTAAAACAAACTTTTTTTTCTACCAGTGAATGAATTTTACCAAACAGGATAGATACAGGTCATGAAAAATCAGGTCTTAAACAAACATGTCAAATACGCTGCATTACATGTAGAGCCAAGACAGAACTTTTTTTATTCGAGAGATACGTATTTTATCCTGCCCAAATGACATTGTTACAAGATTATGATACACTAAAAGGTTTTGGTTCAATTGCGAAATTCCGATGTCTTCATCAAAAGATATGACTTAGTTAATTTCACACTTTTTTCCGAGTGTCAACTCCTTGAGCTTGCACATGCATATGCCATTCCCATGACCTCATCGTAAGAATGAAGCGTTTTAATATTTGCTTTAACATCGAAAAAAAAATTCTATATAGTTTGGAGGTGGTCAAATAACTCTAACGAAAAACTCTGATAATTTTTTCTTTAAAGCCATATATGGCGTAACTGATCAAAAAATATATTTTTGAAAAATACAAAATTAAGTAAAGAAATATAGTTAATACATTTAAATTAAAGCTTTTCATACAATTCTGAACACGGAGAACACCTCGTTTCATCTAAAAATACGATTTTATCTTCTCTGTAATGTGCTATTTAAATCTTTTGTATTTTCTTCCGAGTCGGAGAAAATTCCGAGAATCCAAATTAAATTGTGATATCTTTATAACGCAATTGACTTAGATTTTGTAATTTACGGAAAACTTCTATCTTTATATAAAGTAATGATACAAATAATAAATTATTATAATTTTACTCTAATAATTTTCATAGTACATACGCCATATATGGCTTTAATTTAGTGAAGATAATCAACACTAACGAAAATACCTTCTTTTGATTTCTGTCTTTGAAGAGGTCCTTTGGTTGTTAATTTTGCTGAAGCTATATCCACAGAAATTTTCCACAACAGTTTGTCGTTTCCGGCATCTCTGAGGTAAATTATATCAGAGAATGGTTTCCCAGCAGTTGTTCTCATGAGCCTTATAATTATATGATTGTCCGTACCTGTCCGGGAAACATTGAACCTTATTATATTGTGATTGGGATACCGGGTTAATTGTTTGTTGATGCTAAAATTCCCATCTATTTGCACACGTATGCGTTCATCATCTTTCAAGTAAAGATCGCACGACTCTGCCAACTTTATTTCCTCAAATGTTGGATGATTTTTCTTCATCATTTTCCTTCTTTCGTCAATTTTATCTGTTTGGACAATATCACACCAAAGATATGCAAAACTTTCCCTATCTTTCAGCAAAAAGGTTAACGTGTGGCACTTAAATAAAATACCTCTCTCTAGCTGATATTCGCCAGATGCGCTTAATGGCGTGAGAGTTTGCAGGCGATTTCTAGAAATGCCAATGATACCTGTCCTGAAAAATAAAAATAAAATAAATTTAGAAAAAAAAATTCTCTTAAGGTCATACGCAACGTAGTTTGATTTTTTTTGTCCTTTTCCATGGAGATGAAGAGTTCCAAATCTTGAAGGAGCTGTGTTATATTTTATATTCTATATATGGTGTTGTACACTTCTTAACAATTTTGGATAAAAGAAACATCTGGAATATATGTTTATTATTTTTTATATATTTTTCTTTGAATTATCCAAAATTTTTCAGCAATTAATATCTTTCAAAAACTCCCGGTAATGCATGCTGATTTTTCGTCTTTGAACACCTGATGACAATATAATCTTAAATTAAGAATATATTAAAAAATTATCAGTAGGTAAGGTACGTTGCGTTTGACCTTAATATACCTTGTAGTGTCTTTGCGTTGCTCTCATAATCGAAGATTCGGTAATATATAGTTTTTGTACCGCCCATCTGTTTGTCTATTTATTTGTCCGTTTGTCTACAAAAATATTAATCTTGTCCATAACTTTTGAGTGGGTGGGGCTGTGGCTTTCATACTTCACAGGTGTATTCCTCGTGACCTTTCTTTTGGTATCACCAAATTTGACTTCGTGACCTTGACAATGGGGTTGATCCATTAATTTTACCATTTTTTTCAAAATGTAATCATGACCATAACTTTTTATTAGTTGGTGCTAAGGCTTTCATACTTCACATGTGTACTTACTGTGACAATACCATCAATGGATTTAAAATTTTGACCTTTTGACCTTGACTTTCATTGGATTTGAAATATTTTACCTTGACCCACCCTACCCCGGGGGTCATAGTTTAAGAAAACTTGAATATACAATATATATGATCGTATATATATATATATGATGATGCTTCCAAATATATTTCATATTTTCTAGCACAGTGGTTCTTGAGAAGATTTTTAAAATATGCCATACATTTTTCACAGCTTCGCAATAACCTCCCAATGGAAAAAGGATGGTACTTAATTTGCAAAAAAAAAAAACAACACACAACTTGAATTCTCTTTACCTAAAGATACATTTTGGCAAGTTTGGTTGAAATTGGCCCAGTGGTTCTTGAGAAGAAGATGAAAATGTTAAAAGTTTTCAATGTTACAAACGACAATGACGACAACAGATAACGGATAAATTCCGATCAGAAAAACCCACATGAGCCTTCAACTCAGGTGAGCTAAAAGTTGTTTAATCCAAAATTTTTCTCAAATTTCATTACTCGCTAAAGGCCATGACTTCAGTAGAGAAACAGTTATGCTCGACATGAATGGTCCTCTTGCAGTCATAACGGAAAATTTCCGTTGCGTAATTGTAGTCGAAGTACGCTAGAACCATGTCAGAGAGCTCTGATGTGTTCGTAAGCAAGCAAGGATAAAAGACTTCTAGTGCCTTCAAAAAGCTCCCTTCGGCTTGAACAACCTTGGAAATGAGTTGGAACAAAGATGATGGAGAAACTTCAGGTTCCGTGACCTACAATAACAGTATTATAATTGATACCTTTTTAAGGCAATACTGATAACGAATTAAAGTAGTTAAAGCCATACGTGGCTTTTTTTTTGTTAAGTTCAGAAAATCAAAATTAAAAAGATCCTTATTAGGTGGCATATTTCTGCCCCTTACAAGCAAGATAAATTACTACAACATGGAAGAAAAATATGTCAACATGCCCGATTATTATGTGAACATACCAAAACAAATAAAGTTAGCATGCAAGTCACCAATTTTGTTACAGAATTTAGTTTAAATAAGGACGAATTTACATATTTACGGTAGAACCTGGCACCATGGATGCAAGATGCAACATAGTTATTCATACAAAATAATTATGTGAACATGCGACTTATATATGTATATGATATTATATATACCGAGACTTTCGATACTTGACGCTCAGTTACAGCACCCTCAGGTATTTTTATTTGAAGTCTGGGGTCTGACGCATGGGTGTAGACTCCTCCTTTTGGATCCATGGTAACAGGTACCTCTTTTGCTGATTCCAAGATGTAAAAGGACTCTACTTCTTCCGTAACAAAACAAATCGAGTTTTCCTATGAAGATAATATTGCAGGTAACCGATTCCTTGCATTCATAAATCTTAAAAAGAATAAGTTAACTTTTTTCTGTGTTAATATATTTTGCTTATCTAACAAAAAAAAATGGAAATATGGAGACTATTCCAAGAAAAATTCCATCCATTCCATCCAATATATTCGTGCTTGATCCCCCCTCTGTTGAAGAGTGGGATCCCCATCCCCTTCCCAGCTTTTCCCCAGGAAACTGTACTCTAGGGTAGGACTTGATTTCCTCTCGAATTGGAAATCTCACAACAGAGCTAAAATGCCCCCTCTTTCTTTCAACATCAAGACAAGAAGAAGCACATGGCTTCGACAAGCGATGTTTATATTTCTAAAGCACGTTATCCCACCTCCGATGTTTTAAGAGGTTCGTTTTTGCTCTGCTCCAAATTTGTATTGTTTTGATTGATTGACAGTATATTGTTAAACGTCCCTCTCGAGAATTTTTTGCTTATATGGAGACGCCACCACTTGCCGATGGAGAGCTGCAAATTTTGTCCTAAACTCGGCATTCAGGGCCATTGAGCAGGGAGGGATATTTTTCTTGCAAGCACCTACTGCGATACGGGGCCTCAGTATATACCGTCTCATCCGAAAGACCGATCTCCATGTCCCACAATGGGATTTGAATTCACGACGTAAGGATCAACTCCTTACTTCGCGACTGTAGAGCAGACGCTCTAACCACTGCGCCACGCGGGCGCTTTCGAGCTCGGTTATTGTTTGTTATCTTCATACCGGTATTTCTTATAGCGTAAAAAATAACACATTGAATATTTTCTTGAATATACTTTATGAAGACTATTTCCTTTAATCCATAAATGCTAATTCAGTTGGAACCAAAGCCGTGAGTTTGTGGCCTATTGGTCCATGGTTTAGTGTTGTGAATTGAAAAAAATATATATAACATCTTTAAATGTTTTACCAAAATATGCAAAATATACTCTAATTAAAAGAATATTGAAATACCTGAACAAGTGTTTGAACTTTAATCCAGTTTTTGTTGAAAAATACTTGAGATACCCACTCTTTATGATCTGACTTTTGTACATCTATCATTTCGAGGCGGACAAATACCATATTTTTGCTTCGCACGGCAATGGGTGTTTTATTCTTCTTGGTAAACTTATATACCCCAGTGATAAAGGTTTGAGACAAGGATTTGTCAAGAGCAGGAATAGTCTGTTTTTCAGGGTTCTCCCACATGGTTAGTGAGAGACCTTCGATTGGTGTCGATGTGATTGTGTTTCTGCTATCGATTATTATGGTGATTCTAAATAATAAAAAATAAAAATTCATATCAGCTTTAATAAAGATCTTTTGACTCTTGTAGAGAACACATAAACATATTGATGTCAAAGAACAAGAACAAGTACTTTCTTCGTTCATCTGAATATGAAGTACATATAAATAATATAATTTGATATTTTAACATTTACTGTTTTCTCTAAAATACATCTACAATAAATGAATTCAGCAAAAGTAAGCAAAAATCAAGGAAAAAAATCTACACACAACAAATTAAATATGGTGTGAACTTTTTCCCCCTTTGACAGATTATTTCCTGTTTTACCTATCAATATTAATCAAAGTTACCTTTGTTCCTCCTTGTCAGTTGATATACTCTCAATGAAAAGTTGCATTCTAGAGTGAACTGCTTTTAGTGATTCTTTTATGCTTTTCTGCTCAGATGGTAGCATGTCCATTATGGAGACTAATTCATGTAGCAACTCAATCACTTCCAAACGAAGTTCTTCAAAACCCTGAGAGTATCAAATATATTTTGCGTTATAATAATTGCTTTTATTATCAGTTCATAAAAATACGTTCGTCCAGATTTCTTATTCACCTGTTTTTTTTTAATTTGTATACATGTATATTCTTCCCAAGTCTTTTACTTAATTTAATTAACTCACCACTATTTTTTCTTTCGTATCTCCCTCAAGCAGTTTTTCTGTTTCTTCGATCCAAATGTTTTTAAAAAATAAATAATATCTTCAGCATAAGCATAAACTTTATTTCTCTTAATTAATCAGTTAATGACTATATACCGTGTATCACTTTTATGAAACGCATACATGTTTCGATAAATATTCGTGTAGATATTCTGAAACATGTTTTTAGGCAGTGTGCAGTAAATCTCTCTCTCTCTCTCTCTCTCTCTCTCTCTCTCTCTCTCTCGTATTATTATTTGTTTTTTTTTAATCGGCGAGCTTTGCATTGTATTTTCATGGTCTTGCCTTTAAAACATTTCAAAAAACTTCCATGCATTGTATTTTCATGGTCTTGCCTTTAAAACATTTCAAAAAAATTAATAAGATGCTTTTCTTTCGTTTTTAGTACGGGATTTAATATTGCAGCCGTTGCAAAAAAATCATTTTACATAACATGCGTAAGCGGGTTATGATTTTTTTCTGCAATAGCTGCGACGTTAAGTGTCTTGCTTAATGTCATTTATGCACTGATTAATGGCAATGGAAAAACCAGTGGATGTGAATTTACTACAAGTAATTGATTGATTGATTGATTGTATACTGTTTAACGTCCCTCTCCAGAATATTTCACTGATATGGAGACGTCACCATTGCCGGTGAAGGGCTGCAAATATAGGCCTATGCTCGGCACCTACGGCCTTTGAGCAGGGAGGGATCTTTATCGTGCCACACCTGCTGTGACACGGGGCCTCGGTTTATACGGTCTCATCCGAAGGACCGCCCCATTTCGTCGCCTTTTACGACAAGCAAGGGGGAACTGAGGACCTATTCTAACCCGGATCCCCACGGGTGACAAGTAATTGATATGTCAGACAAGTAGTTGATATGTCAGACGTAACATATCATAATTTTAACAACGGCAATTGAAAGAACAAATGCCTTCGAACATTAAGGAAATACGAGGGACGTTCAATTAATAATGTCATAAGCTCGATGATATACAACATAGAAATCATATGACATTAAGCTTGACTTTCTCTAATTAAATAATCTTTAATGAATTGATAAAAGTTTATGTGACCTCTTTTCTTCACATATTCCATTGTGGGAAGCTGGAAAACAAGAGCTATTCGAGACACTGCATTAAAAATGAATGGTCAAGAATAAGAAACCTAGAGTAAAATTAAACGCTTCATTAAAGCAAATGAAAACTTTTTAATAACCCAAAAATATATTAATTTAACTATGTGAAATTTACAGCAACCAATGTATGTTTTAAATACACATGAACAGGTGGATTTCAATGAACAAAAATTATATAATGGGGCATTAAAAATTGGTACTGTCCTTGGCAACAAGGACTTACAACAACCAATGTTTATATGGAAATTTCACAAATTATCACTGATTATGTTTTATTGACTTTAAGACAGATAGCAAGATTGATAGAAATCAATTTGGGGGTAGTTCACACTGATTTTAAGAAACATTTAATAGTGTAAAAGTTTAATACTCAAAGGTCACCCTATATTTTGCAAAAAAAACGAATGAAAAAGACAGCGTATAGATATATCTAAACAATTATTTTAAAAAATCAAAAATTGTTCTTATCCACGTTTGTTTGAAATTCAAACAGATGATGAAACTTGAATACATTTTGCTTTAAACCCTCAACACAAATTTAGAATAAGATGCACTTGGCAAAAATGCAAAGGACTAAGTAGAGCAAAGCATTGCAAGAGCATAAAAACAGTTTTACATGCTATTTTCTTAAAAATTAGCGGTCTTGTTGTTCAAATTCATATTCGGTTAGGAGGATGAATTTCTGGAGGAGTCTAGAAAACAATTTTTTGCCAAAAATTGAAAGATTTACGGAAGGATTGAGGAATTCACTACATTAAATTTCTTCATGACAGCGTTTTGGGGATAAACAAAAAGTTTATGTTTTGTCATACCAACAAAATTTGTCAGATCTTTCAACCTTTGACTTGTTTCATTTCCCAAACTTAGAAAAACACCTTTCAGAAAGCAAAAAACAAGTTCATTTACACCAAATCATAGGATCTGCCAAATTCCAGTATACTAAGGGTAATCTAAAAAATGAGTTCTAAAAACAATTGAAAATTGAATAAAAATGTTACGGATATGTGTTTTAATTAAAAGATAATATTTAAGTAAAATCATCACGAATAAATCATGGAAAGGCGTTTTTTGTTTCTTACCGAGCAGCGATGACATTATTTATTGAACGTCCCTCGTATATTCAATTTTGTATCGACTGCTTAAAGTTAAAAATATCCCAACAAAATAATTGTTCAGCAATTATGAATTTGAGGGCGCACATTTGGATGTTAAGTTATTGTGTAAAAACTACAATTTGATTTATTTTGTATGCTATGTGTTATCATAGGGTGTGATCACAACAGATGATCAAAGTTAATTATAGGAATAAACAGGAAAAATCTTTTAAATCTTCTCAAGAACAGCAAAGAAATTTTTGTAAAAGTATCTGCAGATGGTGCCAATTTATGTTTTTTTTTTCAAAAATCATCAAGCCTGGGGGATAGGATGGGGCCACAATGAACAATCAAAGTTAAACAGGAATATATAAGAACAATCTTCAAAACCCTGCTCAAGAAAAACAAAATCATGACTGGTCAAATTTATATGGAAACATCACAGGTGAAGTAGATTCAAGTCTGTTCAATTCATATCCCCCTTTAAGGGTAGTTTGGAACCACATATGCATTTAAGCTGTTCAGATGAGTTGTTTTTTTTACTTGCCATAGTGCTCAGATGAGCGACGTGACCCCTGGGCCTTTTGTTTTCTTTTAGATAATTTTTGTGACCTCTCCTATATAAAATTCTATATTTATCTTATCGTCAAAACACACAATAACAGTTTTAAACGACCTATCTATTGAAAATTGAATAACAAATCCTTTTGTTCACAATATCTATATTTCATTTCATTTTTATGCATTATTTCTCCTAACCTCGGAAATAATGTCAAAATTTATTGTTTTAACAATTGATGTGTTTCACTACACTGCACAAATTCTTACACACTGAAAATCCCAGTCAGTTATTTTAAATTCATATAAAAGACAATATTCTTAATTGATGTTTTACGGTTGATTCACAAAGAATTAAGTTTAACAATCAATACCTTTGTGCATGCTTTCGGATAAAACCAAAAACCTGTTTCATTGGCATTAAATACTTTTGTAGTAGACTGTCATTGCCTTTCTTGAATACTTTTTGGCAAAGGTCCCGAACAGTCTACAATCAGATGTACAGGTGTATTAATCTTTTAACTTTTTAATTATTTTCAATAGTTTATAAAATAAAGAAAGTTACTGAACCGTCTTTACCTCTTTAAATGACAACAGATCGTTGGTATCCTCCAGGTTTTGTTTTTCAAATAACAAACCATATTCTTCACAATCGTCAATACTGAATTCAAAAAAAAAATTATAATATAATAATTAAATTTGGATGAATATCATCTCCATTTCAAATTTCTAAATTGAAATTTGATTTAAAATAAATTTCATTGTGTTCTTTTAAAAGCAATAAATGCATGTACCCGTCATCAGTTTCTTTGACTGTGGATTCATCTGATGAGTTTTCAAACAGTTCTTCCTGTTAAAAAAAATTTGTTTAAAAGGTTTTATTTTCCTACCAACCATATAAACTAAATTTTATGGAAAACTGTGATTTATGACACTGTAAATAAAATAATCTGAGAAAAAAATGTAGCTGTCATGTATACATATATATAAATCCTTGTATGCTATGCAATATTAGTAATCCAATAGGCTAATTGTGATCAAGCTGTATACAAATAGATCTAGATAGTTTTTTTTCCTGTTGACTGTTTTTTTTTCCAGAGCAATGTTTTAAAAAAAGTTCCTTGTTATACTTCAAAATTACTTTTGAAATTTTAACTTCTTATAACATCTAATATGTACTCATTTTCTCTTTAATAAGAATACTATTTTCTCGTTTTATTATGTACCACACGTTAATAGCATGTACAAGTTCTTATATTATAATGATTTCAAAAAATCTGTCTTTTTTCACAAGGATTTTTTTTGTCTGAAGTTTTGGGGAAATTAACTTGGTAAGATATCTGCTTGCTTTTTCTACTGTTATGCTAAAATTGACAAAGAAAAAACAATTCCGATTACAGCATCTTAAAGTTTGTTAGCCAATGGTTTCTGATCCGCTTCTCTCCTCAGAAAACCCTGGCCTACAGTTCCTTCATAAGAAGGAATTTTTAGGCCCCCGTATCAAAGATTATGGGTATATAGTTTTTTGCCCTCTCCATTCCTTTGTCTATTTAGATAGCATCTGTTTGTACACCAAAAACGTTAACATATCCCATAACTTTTGATTGTTTGACGTTATGGCTCCCATATTTTCCAAGTGTATACCTTATGACAAGGCCTTTCTTTGGGTACCAACATATTTGATCACTTAACCTTGGAGTTTGGTCAATATTAAAAGAATTTATCCAACTTATCTCATTAAACATAACTTTTGAACATTTGGTGCTAGGACCTACATATTTCACAGGTGTACTCTATGTGACAAGACCTTCTTTTTGATACCTTTTATTCAGTCTTGGAATTTCACCTACTTTTGTTTGTTATTTAACACCATGAAACAAGAAATTTTATAGAACATATTTTAATATTTAAAAGTTAAAGTGTGAGTCAAAATAAATCAAGTAATTTATTCTAATTTTGTATTAAAATTATTGTTGTTGAGAAAATCATTGATTTGAAAAAAAAACGGTATAAAGTAAAAGAACTATAGGTTTTAAATCCTATGAATTTTTAAAACTTTATTGAAATATCAATTTTACAAAAATGAAAATCAAACATCTATTTTTATGTAGCTTTCTGAATCTTACCTCTGTATAAGACTTGCTGACATCCAAACTTATATCACTGTCTTGAAGTTTAAAAAAAGACAAGAGGGGTGGAAAAAGAAGCAGTTCTCTGACGTTTCTGTCAATCTCTCTTTCTTCCAGATCGTACAAAAATAGATCAAACTCAGCACAGGAAGGGAATTTAAAGTAAAAGATTATGGATCCAAATGAATGTTTTATTTTGCAATAATATTTTTTGCACCACTTAATGACAAAATTCACAAACTTCGAAAAAATCGGATACCCGTTCCTCTTCTCTTTTGCACAGTTAAATGTGCTATCTTTCAAATTATTTAAAATTCCAGATTCTCGCACCTCTGGAGTTTCCTCGGTGTCATCCAGATCTAAGTGTTCTAACTCCTGACGAAGTGCATGGAGTATATTCCCAATTTTTGATTCCTTGGATTTATTAGTTATTTCACTAGTTATCTTGTTAAGTGTTTTAACGGCATGTTCTTGCAACATGTTTAGGTTTGCGCTCTTTGTTTCATTCTGATTGGTTTCACCTGAATGTTACGGCATTGAAACAAACAATATTAACATACAGTGTGCAATTATCGACTATCATTTACATGCAGAAGACAAATCAAATGATATAAAATAGATAAATAGTTTAAAAACTAATGACTCATCATTTATTTCCCTCTCTGTTTAATAGAGGCCATAAAGACAAAAAACTAACCTGACTGCAATTTCAACTGAACTGTCACTGTTAAGGAGAATTTTCCTTTCTTCATTTCCCTTCGTACTTGTATTAATTTCTTCTCAGGTTCGGAAATGAATGTTTTCATCTGACATTTTCTGATGTCTTCTTCATAGCTGCAATTTAAGCGCTTTCCTATGCGTTCACCTATTCCAAAGGCAGTCTCCCAGTTTTCTGCGGCTGTTGTTTCTGACATTGACACGTGTTTGGCGTGTGCTATGTCGTTTCGAAAATATCGAATTCGTTCGATATCATCTCCAATCGTTTTGTCTTCTTTATCCGGCATATTCCCCCAACCTTTTGTCGGTTCTGTTATATTTTTACAAAGATTTCGTAGACACGTATATAAAACAGGTATGTCAAAATCTGTATATCCATTTGTAGCCGCATTTCTTATCTTATTTAAAGTCTGCTGAAAAGAATCTACAAGCAGACGTTTTTGATGGAACGGAGTACCATTTGAAACTACCAAGATATCTTTTGGTTTGATTTCTTTTTTTTTTTTTTTTTTTTTTATTGAAACTTGAAACTTTTACACATATTACAAACATTCAAACTTCTGTATGGAAATATGTACAATCAAAATCAAACAGGACTAATTATGGTTGGAACATACAAAATTAGTGTAAAAGTTTATGAAGAGAGAGAGAGAGAAAGAGAGAGAGAGGGGGGAGAGGCAGCTAAGCATTACATATTATGCCCTAAAACATAATCAGTTTTCTTTAAGCTTACCATATGAAATAAAAAAAAAAAAAAAAGAAAAAAAGAAGAGAGAAAAAGGAGGAAGCTAAAGAAAGACTAGTGCAGTGCAGTTTTGAGGGATTTTTCTAATAATTAATATTTAAAAAATTGAAAAAAGAACTGATGATAATAATTACAGAGAAGGTAAATTAATTAAAGTATAACAACCCATTTCTGCCAGAAAGTATTAAAATCTGTCAGTTTTTTATCCTCTATTATGGTGTGTTTTAAAGTTTTAAAATATGAATTAAATAAATTTAAAAGACCTTGGATAGATGGACAGGTATTCTGACAACGAACTTTATAAATATAATGCTTCATTAATATCAACATAGTGTTGAAGTATTCTGAATTTTCATTTTTGTCATTTTCACCAAAAATAAATGATTTTGCATTGAGATTCAATTCAATGTCTTTGGCTTGACATAAACGTATGAATTTTTTTAAGAATTGCTGAACAACATTACATTCCCAGATTAAATGATAAATTGTTTCCTCTTCATCTTCACAAAAAGTACAATACTTAGTATCAGATTTACCTATTTTATACATGAGACTATTTGTAGTTAGAATATGATGATTAAGTCTGTATTGAAACCATTGTAATTTACAATCCCGTGTTACGAGGAATGGAAGATTATAAATTGTTTTCCATTGTATATCAGTTATTTCAAAATATCTAGCCCACTTATTTTTACCAGAAGGTTTGATAACTGGCTTATTTAAAATATCATACATAGGTTTTGATCCTTTCCTGGTATTGATAAATATTTTGATATTAAAAGGAATCATTGGTCTTTGCATTAATCCATTTCTATAAAAATTGTATTTCTTTAAGTCTGCTAGTATTGTCTGTCTAATACCATTATATGTCACATAATTTATTTTAATTTTAAATTTATTTTGTAGATCCTCTAATGATAGAAAATTGTTATGTTCATCTAGGAGATCTAACACATGAGTAATACCATTTTCATACCACAATTTATAAAAGACAGATTGTTTTCCAATTTTGAAATTTTTATTCAACCATAAAGGTTGGTTAACATATTCATTCCAGTCTGTAATTTCAGAATTATCTTGGATTTCCCGAAAAGCATTGAATGTATCCTTCCAAAACTGATTGTGTAAACACTTATTAAAGTTTGATAGACATACTGATCCTGTATTTATTAGTTTGTTAGTATCAATTATATTTTCAAGCAAAATTTTCCATTTGGAGTTTTTGTCATTAATAATTCTCCTTATCCATGTTGATTTCAAAGCTTTTATATAAGAGCCAATATCAATCATTTTTAAACCACCATGTTTATATTGCTGTGTAACAACATTTCTTTTAATTTTATCAACATTTGATTTCCATAGAAAATTGAAAAGTATATTGCTCAAGTTTTTCAGAAAATTAATTTGTGGGGTTGGTAAGGATATAAATAAATGGTTAAGTTTAGATACAAGAAGTGATTTGATTAGAGTTATCCTCCCAATCGGTGTTAAGTTTCTTTTATTCCACTGATCTATAATTGATTTGATTTTAACAAGTTTTTTGTCATAATTTAATCTAGTAATCTTTGCAAGATCTACATCATAATAAATTCCAAGAAGTTTGAAATTGGTTGTCCAGATAAATTCCATCTCTGGACAAACTCTGTCATTAGAATATTTCTTACTACCTATCCATACCACTTGGGTTTTTGACCGATTTATCCTTAGTCCTGACATATTATAAAATTCTATTATTTCCTTTATTAAAGCCTGAAGTGATTTTTCTGACCCATCTAAAATTATCATTGTGTCATCAGCATACTGTGACATTAAAAATTCAGTATTTCCTATTTCAATTCCCTTAATATCTTTATTGTTTTTAATCTTTATTGATAATATCTCTGCACAAAGGAGAAATATATATGGTGAAATTGGGTCCCCTTGTCGACAGCCACGTCCTAATTTGAAAAAATTGGATAAAAAACCAGCCTGGGTCACACATGAATTTGAATTACATTGAAAAGTTTTTATCCATTTACAAAAAGATTGTCCAAAATTGAAAAAATTTAGGGTTTTTTCTATAAATTTCCATGACACTGTGTCAAAAGCTTTTTCAAAGTCTATCATAACTAACATTCCAGGGATTTGCTTTAATTCAGTATAATCCATCAGATCGTATATAAGCCGCGTATTTTCTCCAATATATCTCCCAGGTATGAATCCTGTCTGATCTGAACTTATTATTTTAGGTAAAACTTGTTTTATTCTTTGTGCTATACAACCTGATCCAATTTTATAAATCACATTCAACAATGATATTGGTCTCCAGTTACTAAGCTGAAATTTACTTTTGCCCTCTTTGGGTATACATGTAATTATTCCCTGTTTTTGTGTGGAGGAGAGTTCCCCATTTTCATAACCAAAGTTTAATGATCGAACAATAAAATGACCCAGATTTTTCCAAAATACTTTAAAAAATTCTGCAGTAAATCCATCACTACCCGGGCTTTTATTATTAGACATTTGTTTTAACACATTTGATGCCTCTCTATAAGAAATCTTTCCTTCTAATAGAAAACTTTCATGTTCATTTAACTTTGGGACATTATACTCTTCTAAAGACTCTCTAAGATTTAAATTATGATCCTCTTCTTGAGGCATGTATAATCTTTTATAAAAATTTTCCACTTCTAAGAGAATTTTACATTGTTCTGTTATCTCCACTTGTTCATTATTTTCTGTTTTAATAAGTTTAGGAATTACTTTGTTTGTAAAATTTCTATTCTCAAGATTTAGAAAATAATTTGTTGGTTTTTCACCATCACTGATCCATCTGGCTCTAGACCTTATCACATTTCCCATTAATTTATGTTGTCTTATTTGTTCTAATTCTCTTTTTTTCTCAGTTAATTTTTCTGTAGAAGACGCATATTCCTCTTCTAGTTTCGATATATCCTGGATTAAAACTTTCTCTCTCTGTACATTCTTTTTTTTAACATAACTTCCATAAGATATTGTTTTAGCTCTTAATTCCATTAATAGCGTCTCAAGAAATAATTGATCGTTAATAATTAAATGAATTTCAGATTTTGGTTTGATTTCTTCGTGTAAAACACCTCGGAGCATATGTGTCATAACGTCTACTACCACGCACATCCATCCAAAAAATCGAGCTCTGTTCTGAGAATCAATTTCTGTTTCCATCAGAATGGTGGAGCTTGATAGAACAAACGAACTGCGATATTATTTACTGTATATACTCCCTATTCAAACAAAATAATAAGCTTTGAAATTTAATAGGAAATTCAGATAAATTTGAAGATTCATTTATATTTGTTTTCAAATATTATTTGTAATAGTATTTAAAGTTTCTAAACTGCATATCAACTTAATGATCCTAAATATGATAAAAATCTTCTGTAACAAAAACAGTAGCGAGCTGCCCTTAAAATAGCTACATGTTCAATACAATGTACTGCAGTGTATGAAGTCTTCATGTAGGGGGGGGGTTTATACTTTATAATTATGGTGTACTGTAATGATTGGAAAGATTTAACAATGCCTTGAATAAGTATATTAAAACATATTAAACTGGTTTTTCATAAGTCGATACAAAATATACTATATAAACGCGACGCCAACGGGCCTTAGGTCACCTGAGCATCATGTAACAACTTTCCAACAATTGAATTCGGTTTGTGTTTTAAACCAATAAGCAGTAGAGCCCCTACCCCAATAGAAAAAAAACCCTGATCCTGGGGCCACACATATCACAATTTAGGAAAAACACTTGTTCATCATCATCATTGATTAATACAAAGTAGCAGATTTCAAAGCATAAATTCATTTCAGTATAAATCCATTTCAGCCCTCCCCCGGTCTATAGTACACCTGACTAAGGAGCTTTGAAAATCACAATTCTGGAAGAAGGATCCTTGCTTATCAATATTATATAGGAAGTTTCTAGTATTTGCTCAATTTCCTGTAGCAGAGAAAATTTTCAAAGAATTAATGCATTTTTACTATACAATCAATAGAGCTAAGCCTAAAACCTGAATACCTGACCCTGGGGCCAGGAATTGTTCAATTTTGGAAGATTGATTGATTGATTGTATACTGTTTTACGTCCCTCTTCAGAATATTTCACTGATATGGAGACGTCACCATTGCCGGTGAAGGGCTGCAAATTTAGGCCTATGCTCGGCACTTACGGCCTTTGAGCAGGGAGGGATTTTTATCGTGCCACACCTGCTGTGACACGGGGCCTCGGTTTATACGGTCTCATCCAAAGGACCGCCCCATTTAGTTGCCTTTTACGACAAGCAAGGGGGTACTGAGGACCTATTCTAACCCGGATCCCCACGGGTCAATTTTGGAAGAGGAAGCCTTGCTCATCATAACTAGGTAGGTAGGTAGTTTGTTTAATACATAAGAGCAGAGAAGAAGATTTTCAAAGAAATCATGCAATTCACTATACAATCTATATACCCCCACCCTAGCACTAGAAACCCTCCCCTTGGAACCATGACTTTTTGCAACTTAGTAGAGGACTCAATGTTTATTACAATCATGCTTACGGTTTCACTGCTTGATGTCCAGGAGAAAAGAAGATACTGTGTATACAGATTCTACTAATTTTGATGGTTTGGTCCAACCCCCAGGCCCCAGCGACCATGAATTTTTTTTGTTCCTCTTCACTCATAGATATTCTACACCCAGATTGGTTGAAATTGGACCAGCAGTTGCAGAGATGAAAATAATCAAATATTAAAGCACAACAACAGATAGCTATAGGTTATCTGAATTTACCCAGGTGACCTAAAAATGCAGTTACTAAATTCCCTAACTCACTCTTTCAAATACAAAGGAAACAAAACTGCATTAAACAGCTTAATTGTTTTCCTATCTCTAGTTTGTTATAAATGAGGTAATTATGGCTAATGGCTTGTTCCCAATATTTTTTTTATTTTGTTCTGTCAATCTCTGTAAAAAATAATATACCAAATATAGACCTTTAATCCTGTCAACCCATAGATAAATCGACTTTTTAAAAGCATATCATATCAAGTTGAAAGCATAATTGCTTACCCAAATTGCATTCACCGAGAAGCAAAAACAATCTGACAACGGACGTTATGTATATACGTTATGTATATGCAACATACCTTCAATTTGTTATGTGAAAATATGTTATGCGCATGTTTGTAACAGAATATGAGATAAGAATTGAAAGATCTTTTGAATGTACATTGGGCTTGTCATTAGATATGTATAACACCAAATATCTTGGTCAATATTCATAGTGTGGTATACCTTTCAATCTTATAAAATCGATACAACGTGTCTGTCATGTACACGTGTACCTAAAAATTATCTGTATATCTGTTTTTATTTTTAGTATTAATGATTTTGGGAATATCTCTTTCCATTCTACTGATTACATAAGTTGGTTTAAAAGGCAGACGAACGAGCGTACCTGGTATAGGCTTTTCTAAAAAGCTGACGAGTGACATACCTTAATGGCTTTGTCACCATGAAACATGCTTAAAAAGATTAACAAGACAACGACGACGACAGACAACGGACAGATTTTGATCAGGAAAGCTCACTTTAGCCTTCAGCTCAGGCGAGCTAAAAAAAAGCTATTGTTGTTTTGTAAAGAAAATGCGATACAACAAAGGAAGTACTCTCCTTTATTCCATCCTACTGTGCTGCCACTAGAGGCCATCAAAAAAAGACTGCATATTCCTTTTGCCAGAACAGACACTAACAAAGGTATCTTCTTTCCATCTGGGGGTTCGTCTGTGGAACGCTTTACATCTATTGTCACAGAAGCCCAATCCCTTGACCTATTCAATGGGAATGGGCAACGTAGGTGAAAATTAGGTAACAGTAGTTTTTTTCTATCAAAATTTTAAATTGTAAATAGAGAACCTGCGAAGAAGAAGAAAGACGGTCTCCACTTCATTCAGTGAACTCGCAACTGCGGCGTTTTAAAGGATTCCAGATCCTTACACCGCAACTCTAGATCAGACGCTCTAACCACTGCGCTACATGGCTGACATCAGTGAATGTAACGGAATAACATTACAAAAGAATAAGAAAACATATTTTACATTACTATTCTTTTAATGGTTAGTGGTTTTTATCCAAACCTTTGGATTTTTTGGCTTTCACACTTCACATATTTAATCCATAAGACAAGAACTTTCATTAGATACCAAGAACCTTGACCCTTTGACTTTGGAGTTTGACCTACTTTTAAAAAACTTAATCCTTGGTCATAACTTTTGAACAGTAATGGATAGGGCTTTCATGCTTCATATGTGTAATCCTTGTGACAAGATTTTCATTGGATAAATACATATACCAGCAACTTTATCCTTTGACTTTGGAGTTTGACCTACCTTTCAAAAACGTTAACCTTGGTCATTTCGTTTGAACATGTGATGCTAGTTCTTTCATATTTCTAATTTTTTTTGTGATAAGACCTTACTTTGGGCACCAACATTTTTAATTTCCATTTTAAAAAAGTGTAATCTTCGCTATGATTCCATATGGGAGAATCATAGTTTCACAAACACATCTTGTTTGTCTGTAAGATGTACATGTATGTTGTTTAACATCCCTCTCGAGATTTTTTCACTCATATGGAGACGCCATCACTTGCCGGTGGAATGCTACAAATTTTGTCTTATGCTCGGCACTCAAGGCCTTTGAGCAGTGAGAGATCCTTTTCGTGTCAGTACCTACTGCGACACGGGGCCTCGGTTTATACGGTCTCATCCGAAGGACCGGTCTCAACGTCCCACAGTGGGATTCGAACCCGCGACGTAAGGTGTTGATGTAATATGATTGGGCTCGGGATGCTTGTAATTTGTAGTTATGTTTAGACGCCATGCTTGAATAAACGTTGTGTTCATGTAAGAAATGTTTCATCTATGATTAGCCCTGATAGGCATATCAGCACGGTGGCAGCGGTGCAGACTTGTTGTTAGTGTTACCGGTCGTCTCCGAAAGTGATGCTCCGCGAACTATTGTAAGTTTATAGTGAGAAACTTTGAATTTATTTTTCAACACGTGCTCTGTGTACAACCGCCATATTGGATCCAGACTCCATTCTCAGTAGCCTGAAATTTTTATTTGGAATGGGTGAGCAAGAACAAGCTGCAGGACCTGTACAGGTGTACAATTATTCGTTCAGATTACCTCCTCAACTTGATTTATCCTCTGGAAATGTATCCGAGAACTACAAAAAGTGGAAAAGACAAGTTGAAGTTTACATGTCTGCGTCAGGAGGAATCGACAAAAGTAAAGAGGTACAAGTAGCAATTATTTTGAGTTGTGGTGGACCTCACGTAGTCGAGATATATGACCAGTTTCAGTGGGAAGACGAATCTCAAAAGAATGACCCTGCTAAGTTATATGAGAAGCTACAGGCCTATTGTAATCCTCGTTCCAACGAAGTGTTAGAGTCTCACAGATTCTGGAAGTTACCTTATCAGGAACCCTTTGATAAATTTCTTACAGAATTAAAAACACGTGCAGCGTCATGTAATTTCCTTGAACAGGAGAGGATGATGCGTGACAAGATTGTATTTACAGCTACTGGTAAGCTACAAGAACTACTGTTACGAGAAGACAAATTGACTTTGAACAGAGCAATTCAGATATGTAGGGCTTTTGAACAGTCAATCATACATGTGAAAGAGCTGCGAGAAAACATCACTTCATCTAACAAAGTGAATAAACTATCTACAAACAAACGACAGAAAAACTTCACAAAGCAGAAAGTGACACACAAACAGAAAAGTGATTCACAGCCTTCGAGCAAGGAGAAGAAAGAGTGTGATTTCTGTGGTTATAAACATGAACATGGCAAATCAAATTGTCCGGCATTGGGCAAAAGATGTGACAAGTGCAACAGGAGAAATCAATTTAAGTCCAAATGTAAGAAAATACATGCAGTGGGTGAAGATAGTGAAGACAGTCCAGAGTTAGAAGACAGTTGGCTTCTCGCGTTGAAAAGCAAAGACAAACAGAGCAAAGACATCACTGCGATAATGAACGTAAATGATTGTGACGTACGTTTTCAGTTGGACAGTGCAGCTGACGTAAATACCATTTGTCAGAAATATGTGAAGAAGGAACAGTGTCGTCCGTCAAACATTCGTCTTAGCATGTGGAACAACACTCATATGAAACCCCTCGGTGAAGCTGATCTTGATGTAATCAATATGCGTTCCATTGTCGTCCAGAAACTTAGATTTGTAGTAGTGCAAAACAATCTTACCTGTCTACTTGGCAAGATGCATTTCAAGACATGGGACTTGTGACTGTGAACAGTGAAAAGTTCATATCTAAAGTTGGATTAGAACAGCCTTTTGGTGACTTGGGAATAGCAACTCTGAAAGTTGACCCCAGTATTCAACCCAAAGTACTTCCGTGCAGGAAAATACCGATTGCTATCCAGGACTCAGTTAAGCAAGAAATTGACAGACTTGTTGATCGAGGTGTTTTGATACCAATGACAGAACCAACATTGTGGGTTAGTCAGGTGGCCGTGGCTCACAAGTCAGACGGAAAGTTGCGAGTTTGTAAGATCCACAACCTCTGAACACAGCTCTGATACGAGAGTACTACAGATTACCTGTATTAGATGACGTACTTCCAAAACTAACGAATGCTAAGGTATTTAGCAAACTTGACGTTAAAGAAGCGTTTTGGCACGTTCGCCTTGATGAGAAATCGAGCAAACTTACTACTATGATAACGCCATTCGGGGGATACAGGTGGGCTCGTTTACCTTTTGGATTGAAAGTATCCAGTGAAATCTTCCAGCGACGGCTAGACGAAGCATTATCAGGACTGGAAGGTGTGTTTAGCATTGTTGATGACATTATTATTGCTGGATGTTGTGACAGTAAAGAAGCAGCAAAGGATGTCACATTGCAAGTCGACAGTAGCAAAGAAGGAATTGGTGCCGCACTACTCAAAGATGGAAAGCCGGTCGAGTACGCATCAAGAGCTCTTACACAAGCAGAGAGAAAATGGGCTCAGATAGAAAAGGAAACTTTATCCGTTCTCTATGGACTTGAACGCTTTTATCAGTACACTTATGGAAGGAAAGTCTTCATCCATAATGATCACAAACCATTATCTGCTATATTGCGCAAACCATTAGGACTAGCACCTAAAAGACTGCAAGACATTATGATGCGTTACTTCAGATATGATGTAGAATTTGTATTTGAGAAAGGAGTAAACCTTGTGATAGCAGATACGTTAAGCCGAGCTTTTCTCATGACAACGGAAGGAAGTGTAGATGAGCGTCATAGGATTCTATCTGTCCCGAGGCTACGAGAAAATGATGTACCAGATATCAGAATTCAAGAAATTAAGGACATGACTGCTAAAGATTCAGAGATGCAAATATTGGCCGACACCATAGCCAATGGATGGCCTGACAGTAAACAAGATCTTCCAACGAGTGTGCGTCATTACTTTGATTTTCGTGACACACTAAGCTTTGAAGATGGACTCATCTTGAAAGGTGAAGCAATCGTGATTCCAAAGGCACTCAGATCAGAAATGAAGATGCGATTACACAAAGTACATCTAGGATATAACAGTATGATTAGGAGAGCTCGTGGTGTGATTTTTTGGCCTGGGATGAAATCCGACATTAAACAGATTGCAGATTATTGTGGAATTTGTCAGGAAAGAAAACCGAGAAACTGTAAGGAACCTTTAATTCAGCATTCAACATGTGAATTTCCTTGGCAGAAAATTGGACTAGATTTATTCGAGATACAAGGAAAACACTACATGGTCTCGGTAGACTACTTTTCCAGTTTTATTGAGGTAGATTACCTACCAACAACGACAAGCACAAGAGTGATTTCATTGCTTAAGAAACAGTTCTCTAGATTTGGCATACCAAACGTTATAATACCGGATGGTGGACCACAATTTCGATGTCAAGAATTTCAGGATTTTGTGAAGACCTGGAAGATCGATCACAAATTCTCATCTCTGATGCATCAGCAAGCAAACGGAAAGGCTGAATCTGCGGTGAAGATCATCAAAACACTGATGATAAAAGCACAGGAGGATGGAACAGACCCGTATGAAGCGTTACTTAAACAACATCGTACTCCAAGGCAGGATACCGGTCTAAGTCCAGCACAGATGATGTTCAACAGAGAGATACGTGCTACACTCCCTATGAGATCTGGAGTGAGCAATGATTTTGGAATAGTGAAGTCCAAACACAGATCCAGACAGATTGCCGTGAAGAAATCTTACGACAAAAAAGCACGTAACTTACCTGAAGTCGATATTGGACAGTCCGTTTATTTCCAACAACGGGAAGGACAAAATTGGAAGCTTGGGAAAGTGATTCAAATACTTGGACAGAGAACATACGTTATTGCGGACCAACAAGGAGTCGAATATCGAAGGAACCGAATTCATATTAGACCAACTAAAATACAGACCCATATTCATGATCAATCTCCAGTTCGTGATGAACCAATCAGCAAACGTGAACTCTGTGAATTTCCAAAACCGTTTAGTGGACCAAACGAGTGTATGTCTAGCAAACAGATACCGGTGATTACAGACTCGAACGAACAACATTGCGTACCAAACTCGATTTCAGAAACTGCCGTCAGCAAGCCTCAGAAGGATATTACACCAGATACTCGTGCAATGCCAATATCGCGTGAACCGTCATCAAGGATCCGTAGGAAACCAGCATGCTTGAAAGACTATGTCCAAAATTGATTGAGATACTGTTTGATTCTATTTGATTATTTTGTTAGAAAGTTAATTAACAGTTAATGATCATTTATTTGGGAAATGTTCAGTTTAATTGTTTATACAATGTACATCTTTCGTAGAAGGGGGATGTTGATGTATTATGATTGGGCTCGGGATGCTTGTAATTTGTTGTTATGTTTAGACGCCATGCTTGAATAAACGTTGTGTTCATGTAAGAAATGTTTCATCTATGATTAGCCCTGATAGGCATATCAACAGAAGGACTGACTCCTTACTTCGCGACTCTATAGCAAACGCTCTAACCACTGCGCCACGCGGGTCTGTTAGATTGATTGATTGTATATTGTTTAAGGTCCCTCTCGAGAATTTTTCACTCATATGGAGACGCCACCACTTGCCGGTGGAGAGCTGCAGATTTAGTCCTATACTCGGCACTTAGGGCCATTGAGCATGGAGGGATCTTTTTCGTGCCAGCACCTACTGCGACACGGGACCTCGGTTTATACGGTCTCATCCGAAGGACCGGTCTCAACGTCCCACAGTGGGATTAGAACCCGCGACGTAAGGATGTTAGATTGATTGATTGATTGTATATTGTTTAACGTCCCTCTCGAGATTTTTTCACTCATATGGAGACGCAAGGATGTTAGAAGGCATGCCGCTAATTTTGTTTAGTTGACTTGTAGAAGAAAAACCTTCAAGAATCAATAACTGAAACAAATTCTGATCCAAGTGTTTTACAAAATTTATACAAAATACAACGATTTGCCGACGGTTTCATCCATGAAATCAGTATAATATATATACCCTGTATATGAAAATTCATGTTAACTTTGAGATGGTTCTTTTAAACAATAGAGTAAATCCATATAATTGCTTTCTCACAGTTCTTTTTTTGAGATACTAGTAGTTAATAAAAAAGACTATTTTCAAATCAAAAATTCAAAGAGGACAGATGTGATTAAAAATCGGTCTATGAAAGAAATCTCTTTGCTTTGTTCTACATGAAGAATTTAATATTCAAGTGTTTCACAATTTTTTTTTTTACAAAATACAACAATCTACCTACGGGTTTATACATGAAATCAGTATAATATATTTGTGTAAATACTGTACATTCAAGAACTCTTTTTCATAAACTTGAGGATTTTTTAAAAAGTCAATAAACAAGAGACGTATTCTTTCGAATGGTAAATGGTATAGGCAGAAAATATATCCAAAACTACAACAAAGACAAATCTAAAACACAAAAATTCACAATTTTTCTATTTACTGGGTCTTTAAATCTATCATTGATATCTTCTGTAGCAGATTACAATATATTGAAGCACTTACCTGATAATTTGATAAAAAAAGTTTTTGCCGGTATGATTTATTTAGCCATTTTTTAAATATACAGTACACTACTTAAAGAACATAATATTTTCAGAACTTCTACATATATATTCTTATACATAGATATATGGCACATGGTTGGACTAACTTATGCTCTGACGCCTTTTTAGGGACAGGCGATAAAATCCTTTATCTAAAAAAATGAATCACACAGAAGACAGCTAGTAGGACAGAAAGACAGATGTACGGAAAGATGTAAAGGAAACCTATAGCCCTCTCGGTTTCATCGGTGTTATAAAACAGTAAAAGAACACTTCATGTTATTAATGATACTCACTCCCAACCCTACACTTTGTTAAACTCTCGACCTACGTAAACAGTCTAGCAGAGCAGGAACAGTGCGCTAAGCTGCATTTTTATCTGTACAATAATTGAATAGCAAAGAACCGAGAATTTTGAACGTCAAAAAATTACAATCCCTAAAATATCGAATAGATATGATCCTTAGAAATAATATAACTCACAACCTTTTTAAATGATGGTTCAAGCAGATGATATAGAAAGAAAATGAAAAACAAAACATGCCACAAAGATCAGTTAATGTATTTGAGCATCTGACGAAATAGCTTCTTGGATCCAGTTTGCCTGGTATAATTAGTCTTACAGAAAAAAATATTCTTATCATTCATGTGCAACATAATGCTTAAAATCCCTTCCTTTATTCATTTTTAAAAAAATTATTTTCCATGTCTTTCTCTATAATCTTTAATGGCGGCCAAACACGATCTGCGATGTCCCAAAGATAGAGATAGCTCTTTTAGATCTTCTTCGCTTAATCCTAGAAACACTTTCAAGCCGGTGATATCATTTTTTATAAACGTCTCAATTAAGTTTCCGAGCTCATAGTGATGAAGAAAACTCTTGAATTCCTCTAGGGCAAAACCTGGAAAAAAATGTATCTCATAGTTTAAAAAAACAAATTATAAATGCTTTCTACTGTAGACGACATAACAACTTCATAAACTGTAATGAAAAAATTAATAGATAAAATGCTACCATTTTCTGTTTCACAATACACGAGTGTTGTTAAAAAAGTTTTCGGACAAGCTCTATTGTGAGCGCGTTATTTCCATGAAACCGGTTAAGCTCTCTATATAAAATTATTACCTATTTTCCAACAAATATACAAAAATTTGGTGTTTTCCGGTGATCCTTAAAAATATACAGCTATGTTATCTTGATAAAACATGCTTAACGTGTATGCTACTTTATCGCACGTTTACATTACATAGACTTCCTAATGAAATTAAATTACATTTAATGAGATTAAATGTAATTTAATGAAAAGAAATTACATTTAATGAAATTAAATTACATTTAATGAAATTAAATTACGTTTAATGAAATTAAATTACGTTTAATGAAATTATATTACATTTAATGAAATTATATTACATTTAATAAAATTAAATTACATTTAATGAAATTATATTACATTTAATGAAATTAAATTACATTTGATCTAAATTTGATTTATATATAATCATATTGTATTATAGACGTATACTGTATGTCATTTTATGCACATGCAACTGATGAAACTATGGTGATATCACCTATTCGAAATGGTGATATCACCTATTCAAATTGAAAAGGTGATATCACCTATTCGAATAGCTAATATCACTTATTCGAATAGGTGATATCACCTATTCATCACGAATAGGTGATATCACTTATTAGAATAGGTGATATCGCCTATTCATTTCTAATATGTGATATCACCTATTCGAATAGGTGATATCACCTATTTGAATAACTGATATCACCTTTTGAAAATGAATAGGTGATATCACCTATTCGAATAAGTGATATCACCTATTGAAACAGGTGATATCACTTTTTGCAAGTAAATACCAAAACGGCACATCATATGAAACAGTCATTGTTTGTTTAATGCCGTTTATGTAAGGGATAAATAACGAGATGGTGTTGAATGGTTTAGAAAAAGCACTCTCTCCGAGGGTCGAAGGCCCGAGGAAGGGAAGGGATATTTTCTCTAAACTATTCAACACTATCGAGTTACTTATCTTACTTTAAAAAATTCCTACATTTGGCTCCACAAAAACATTCACACATTCAAATATCAAACTTGACTGTAATACAATAGTGATGTAGCACATTCAAATATCCAACCGTGACAGAAAACAATAGCCTAATCGAACACTCCGTTTATTCGTGGATTAGTGAGCATGAAACTACAGGGAGCTGATTTCATTTCAACCCTTTTCATTGTACTGAACAGACATGAAATCAGACGAGGAATATTTTAAAATCCAAAGTAAATTAGAGTGGTTTACAAACGGTGTCGAAAAATAGATTGACCGTCAATTAATTAAGTAATTTGGGGAAGTACGCCGGAAAAGTATGAAACAGAGATGAATCTCGGATAATCTGAAGCATGTGAAGGGATTTACTGATAACGGGCCCTGAAATAATATTCAGCAGTAAGTGATGTAGTTTAAGATTCAAGGTTAAAATGTATTTAAGTGTCAAAAAGTGATGTGAGGTCGAAAACATTTCTAAAAGGGAGTAAAATTTGGAGGAATTTTTTCTGTGAGCAGTGGAAGTGCATTTGAAACATGATTAATGCGACGTAATTACGATAAATCCGTGTGCACTGGAAATTAATTCTAATAGTGTGGCAAATTTGGAGTAATAATTATTTTTCATATGCATTGGAAATACATTTTAAAATTGATTTATCTCTTTTGTTCATTGTTTTTTTTTTGTTTGCTTTATGCACCTCAGTTGGATATTTAAATATCCAAACAAAAGGCAGTTGGATATTTTAAATATTCAACTGATGGCCATTTGGATCTTTTAAATATCCAACTAGTGCTGATTGAATTGGTAATATATACGCAGACTTATAACAATGATGTCATAGAGTTTTTTAAGGACAGATAAAAGGCAATGTTTTTTAAAGAGATAAATGAAAATAATATTCATTTAATGAAAATATATTTATGTATTGAACAAAATATTAAATTTATACATGTACCTTCCCTTGTGCGTTGTCTTTGAAGAGATTTCACGGCTGCTGTTTTTATTATCTCGATATTTACGGACATCTGCCACAAGTATTTATCTTTTCCAATGCATTTTTCATACGAAATTTTGGAGTTTATCTCCCTGCCCGTTTTTTCCAAGGGTAAAATGATATGATTGTCTGTTGAAACATTGAATCTAATGATATTATACAGTTTTTGTTTACTATTGTTAAATAATCCAGTAACGTTAACACGTATACGGTCGTCCTCTTTCAGAAAAAAGTCATTGGACTCTTTCAATTCCATGAACTCTGAATTTTTTATTTTCATCATCGTTCTTCTTTCATCTATGTTATCTACTAAAACAACTTCACACCATAATTGGGCAAAGTCTTCTCTTTCTTTGGAAACATATGTCAGTGATTTGCATTTGAATTCCATTTTTCTGTTCTGCTTATATTCATGAGATGGAAGGATAAAACTTCCACTTTGCTGGGAATAGCTTTTAGGAACAGCAACGATGCCAGTCCTGAAAGAACAACAGAGCAGCTTGTATCTTTATCATTGCATTCATTTAAAGGTTTTTCGTACAGAATATCAAAGGAAAGATCATCATAGAATAATTATTTATCATCATTGAATGAAAATATCATTTTTCAAAAATTCGATTTCATTACTCGCTAAATTCCGAGACAAGGGCAATGAAACATCCCCCTTCTTGTTTGATGGTGTGAGTGAAATCAATCGTCAACTTCTCATGGATAATGTCGAAGTGGAAAGAGGCTAAATTACTATCAGTGGATTGAATTGTTTCAGGAAAGTGGACGGTAACTGGTTTCAAAAAGTGTGCAGAGGTTCGAACTATCTTTGAAATCATTGTAAATCCCAAGAAAGACGGTGTTTCCATCAAGACAACCTGTAACAACATGTACACATTTTACAAAATTTATCATTTGTGTAATTAGAAACTAATTTTTTTTTAAAAATACATAGACATAAAAAAAATAGGAATTTCGTTGAACTCCCAAAAAGAACTACCAGTATTTTGGATTTGTCACAGGTGATGACTGTCTCTACCCTTTTAATTACTCATTGGTTGTAAAAAGAACCCAAACAGAGGACTGTCGTAGGGTAAATTAAAATTATTTTATTTATATTTTTTAATCTTATTATATCATCCATTTAAAAAGAGGTGTGATTGGGGGTTTCTGTTGTCCTTTCCTGCGTCTGTACGTCCGTCCGTTAAGCTTTGGGGTCCCATCATTTATCTATAGTTCCTCTTAAACCACTGAATAAAATTTAATGAGGCTTACAATGAATCTTTGTTGCAAATTGCCATTGTGCACCTTTTTACTACATTTACCATTATACTATTTGATTGGATATACTGGGTATATTTCGGGTTCTCCAAAACAAAAAATAGACACTTCTAATCTTTCCATATGATTGGGGGTACCCATCTCTTATTCGCAGTTCCTCTGTTAAACCGAATTTTTTATGAAACTTTCAAGGAGTCATTATAAAATCATTTTGTAAGCTTCATATTGTGTATAAAATCTGATGATCCTTTGGCCAAACATTGTAGAAATGGTAACTCAGAAATTAAAGGGAGATATTTCACATCCACCAACGGAGCAAGGGTCTAGTTAGCGTAACCAGCTTGGATGTAAGTCAACCACCTCCAACTAACAATGCTGTAGCAACAGTCTATCAAGAAGAGCCTAGTCAACAGAGTACAAGCAGTGCAGCAACTTTGGTAATGTTATAAATGCAACCATTCCATTATCTTCAGGTCGTCCCTTAGGATTGTGCACAAGAAATTGAAGGCAAAAATTTGGGCAGAAGAATATATCCAACTTGGTGCTCTGCTGTTCAAAAATCCATACTCAAAATTGCAGGAAGGGCAAGGTCCAAACAATGAAATAACTCTTCAGCACAAGAGCATAGAATCTTTCAATCAACTGATAAACACATTTCTGTGTCAATGTATTGAGAGAATTTTCGAATCATGATTAAGTACATGGCAATTGTACAGAAATTTAATGCAAATGGTAGAGAAAAGGCAGCTTCTTTGCATGATGACAAAATTTTGTCTGTGCAAAGCTGATAACACAAGCCATATACCCTGGCAGCAGATCAACCAGGAACTCCATTCTGAGGCACTGCAACTTGGCCTAAAAACAATTTCAGCCTCGGAGAAATTTTTAAACGCTAACAGCTCCTATACTCAACAGATAGGTGACACACATCTGCATTCCGAAAGGGTCGTCAATCAATAATGGAATTGATAGAGAACATTCAGCAGTATCTTTTTGCAGCCCGGGAAACCCGGCTTCTCTATACATATAAGTTTAAGTGTTGGTGTATGGGGATTGGGGTGGGAGTAGTTATTTAGAATTAAAGGTTTTTTAAACATTGAAAAAATTGTAAAGCAGAATGTTCTTTTCGTTTATAAATTACGAGATACATAATACATTTACTTCCATAAAGTGAATCTGTAAAAATATATATGTTTTTCATATTTAATATATCAAGTTGCTTTCATATACATGTACTATCAAAAAATGACAGGTTCCTTTTTTTTTCTTTAGAACATCGACTTTTACTTCTCGCATAAAACGTACTCTGCACAGTTCGTATTTTATATTCTAAAATTGAAAATTGATACATTTTTGAATATAGGTCAGGGACGTAGCAACAGGGGGGGGGGCTGCCCCCCCCCGTTTTTTGTCCAACAATAATTTTACTTTAGGAAATATGGAGGGAAAGGATGGTTGGCCCCCCCACTTTCTACTATAGTATAGTGATATCAAGGAATTGTACGAAAAAATTGGAAGTGAAAGTTACTTGGCCTTAAAAAAAACTTGGCCACTAACCCCCCCCCCCCCCCCCCCCCGACGAAATAGGATTTTCGAGTTTCGGCAAATGATATTTTGCGGTTTTTTTTTTGCTTGTCAACTTTTTCAGGTAAGTAAACAAAAAAAAATTTTTCTCTGGTGGATGGCACCCCCACTTTCAAAAACGATGCTACGTGCCTGTAGGTGATGCATGTGTCTAACTTCAATTTATATTTTATGAAGCCAACATTTACTTGAGGAATTGATCTAGTTTAAAATAGTATAGTTTTTGTTTGATTTTTATCCGACATATAAGTTTTCAAAATATTCGCGACACTATCGTCACCATCAATAACACACATATCGAAGCAGTATCAAACTAGATCAAGACTCATTTTCATTGTTTACTTTATAAATTTCCCGGGCGTCAATTGATGGTTATATCAATGTTTTCTTGTCAGAATATTGATGATTATAAATAAAATAATTCGCCTGCGTGGCGCAGTGGTTAGAGCGTCTGCTCTAGAGTCACGAAGTAAGGAGTCGATCCTTACGTCGCGGGTTCGAATCCCACGTGAGACCGGTCCTTCGGATGAGACTGTATAAACCGAGGTCCCGTATCGCAAAAGGTGCTTGCTCGAAAAAGAAGAACCCTTACAGCTCAATGGTCGCTTGTGCCGAGTAAAGGTCAAATTAGTTATTTGTTAGAAAAATTAGTAAATTTCTTCGAACGATTTAGATATTTGTTCAAACGAATTAGAAATTCCTTCGGACGAACTAGATCTCTTGTCTAGAGAGATTTACAATTTTTTTTTATTCAGGAGGATTCACCCTTTGATATAGGCCTTTTAATATAAACTAATTTAATTTTAGTTGTTATATGTAATTTTATTAGGTAAAAGATTTTATCCATTTTGTATAAAATAATTTGCGTACGTCACAGCGAGTTACGTCAAAAACATATTACTCAGCTTCGCGGTTTCTAAAGCGTAAACTGCACCAAATTATGTTATATGGTATAACAAAAGTTGAAATAAGCTTCATTCCTAAAATATATATATATATATATATATATATATATATATATATATATATATATATATATATATATATATATATATATCAGAAGTCCATGAATTCACAGTGGTCGGTATAGTAGTATAGTAAAAAATAATTAAAAAGAAAACACGAAGACAACAAAGTAAAGCATTAGCGCTTTCATTTAAAAATCTTCAGATGCTTTACAATCAAGTATATATATATATATATACAAAAACACACCGAAACGTTTGCTATTTGACGTTCAACTGTCGCATCCTTCGGTATCTCAATCTGAAGTTTAGGGGTCTGAAACATGCATATACACTCCTCCTTTAGGGTCAATCGTCATTGGCATTTCTTCAGCAGATTCTATGATAAAGAATGATTCCAAGGCCTCTATCCCAAAAAATATCCAATCATCCTGCAAAATTAAAATTCTTTCACTCGAATATATTGTGAGGTAAAATGTCAAATTAGAATTTCTCAAATGTAAATTACAGAAAAAATGTCAAACCTGGGTCTGTGTTTCAATGGTGGTCCAGATGTCTCTATGACATACTTTAGAAAGCCACTGTCTACCATTTGGTTTCTTTAAGTTTATCATCTGAATGCGAACCAATATGACATCCTCATTTTTGCTATGAACTGTGTAAGGTTTCCCTTGCAATGTAAATCTAAAGACTTCAGTGACACTGGTTTGAAAAAGAGACCTGTCTAGATTAGGCATGTGTTCATTTCTATCATTGTTGTCCCACATTTGCAAAGACAGCCCTTGGATCGGTGATGATAAAATTGTTCCTCTAGAATCAATATCTATGGTGATTCTGTAAATATGAAAATATAATTGATTGAACCTAACTCTCCAGAGTGGTTGTCATATTACCAATCTTGAACTTAAAATTGTGCATCAAGGTTTTAAGCTCAAAGCATCACGCTAGCTGAGTTTTTATGTGACTCGTTCTTCGGTATATCTCTGTATATTTTCATTCTAAAATAAACAAGATGTGTTTGTGAAGTATGACAAGACTTCTCACAAGGATTACACCTGTGAAATATAAATGCATTAGTAGACACTGTTCAAAAGCTATGGTCTCGTTTTTTTTTAAAGTGGGATAATCTCCAAGGTCAAGGTCTAAAGCCAAATTATTAGTATACAAAGGAAGGTCTTGCCACAAGACATACGCCTTTGAAATTTATAGCCCTAGTACTTATGGTTCAAAAGTTATGGCCAAAGGTTATAGTTTTTTTGAAAAGTGGGTCAAACTCCAAGGTCAATGTAACGAGGTCAAATATTTTCATACCCAGTAAAGGATCTTGTCAAAAGGATCCAGGGCTCTCCTATTCCACGCGTGTTTTCTTGTGATAAGACCTTTATTAGGTATACCATTCCGACAACTTTACCCTTTGACGTTGACCTTCAAATTTGACCTACTTTTGCAAAATTTGACCTTGGTCATTATACCTTTCATAAGTGTTTTTATGCACCCGTAATAGAAGAATCGGGGTATATATATTTTCGTAGTCCATCCGTCAGCCTAGCTGTCTGTGTGTCCACAAAAACTATAACATTGTCTATAACATTTGATAGGTTAGAGCTATGGTTTTCAAATTTTTTGAAATCCCTCGGGACAAGGCCTTTCTTTAGGTCCAAAATATGTTACCTCTTGACCTCGGTGTTTGACATACCTTTTCGAGAAATTATCAAACTTTACCTTGGTCATCACTTTTGAACAGTTGTTCCCAGGGCTTTCATACTTTAAAAGTTCATGAACTATGACGTTCCCATTGATACCAATATTTTTACTTTTTGACCTTGACCTGTGGGTTTACCTCTTTAAAAAAAACAAAAACTTGAGTTTAATCATAAATTTTGAACAGTTAATACGAAAGCTTTCATAGTTCATTGTGACAAAGATGCTTGTGAGAGAGTTAGATACAGCAACCCTGATGAACACATCGAGAACAGCTATTAAATTAATTAAATGTTATGTTTTTGAATTGATTTTGGAAAAAAGATTTTAAATCTAAGAAAATATATTAATTTAATCCAAAGATAATACAAACAGCATAAATAAATAGTTGTGGGGGATAAAAAAAACAAACATGATTATGTTGACACATATTTTCATTGATGCATACATGTATATTTAACAGTTTATGTCTTACCTTTCCTCTTTGTTTGATATGCACTCATTGAATAACTTTACTTTAGAGTACACGGCCCGGAGTTTCTTCTTTATGCTTTCCATTTCTGATGGCACTTGGTCCATAACAGAGGAAACATAACGTAGCAGCCCATCCATTTCAGACCGAAGTGCATCAAATCCCTGAAAAAGTTATCATTTCGAAGTTTCATTTTTATCCCCGGCTGAAGAGGATATAAAGACCTTTTCCAAAATTGTGAAATGTGTCGATCCAGGGTCAGGTGTTCATGTGGAGTGGGGGCTCAACTGATTATTGTCAAATATTACTAATTAATTGAAATGCATGTTCTTATCTTAAAGTATATATAAACCAAACAAAGTATTTACGAGGGTCGTTCAAAAATTACGCGGACTCTGCCCTGATTTACTCTTACAGACGTCATATAGTTATGAAAATTCACAGAAATATGTATCTCAAAGATTCCAATACAATTTGAGCATAATTTTTGTATTTTAAAAAAATTCTCCTAAAATTATCTCTGCGTTGATATCGCTGATGGAGAGGTACGGCGCACGACAAAACATTTGAAACAAAAACTTGCGGAATCCAAAATTTAACTCATTAATTTTCCATAATTCGCAATATTTTTCGACAATTTTCTCAATTGTATCTTTATATTGTTTTATTATTATGTATTTAAATTTCTGACATGATATTTGAGGTATTTACAGAAATAAAGTGATTTTTCTCCGATGCAATTCCTGTGAAAATGACTGTGAAAATGACGTCTCCTGAATTTATGGAGCACCACCTTTCTGATCAATTATGTGTTATGCTCAAGGTGTCGTCAACATAAATCCAAAACATGCATAATAAAACATGTAGTAAACTAGGGTATTCGTGTCATTTGCCTACAAATAGCAAATTTGAATTTTAGACCGTTAAACCTCTGTAAAAGGGCTATTCGGGAGGATGGGATGAAGATTATCGACGGAAACTTTATCCGGACTGTAAACAAGAGGCCCATGGGCCACATCGCTCACCTGAGCACTGTGGCTAGGAAAAAGTAGAAATTGGTTTATTATTAAAAAGTTTAAATCTTATAGTAGTCCCATGACCAATCATGGCTTTGCTATTCTTGAGAAGAAGATTATTAAAGAATTTTCTTATATATTTCTATGTAAAACTTTGGTCGGCCACTTTGGCCTCGCCCTACCCCCGAGGGTCATGATTTGAAGAAACTTGAATCTACACTACCTGGGAATGCTTCCATATAAATATGATCAATCATAACTTTGCTATTCTTGAGATGAAGATTTTTAAAGAATTTTCCTATATATTTCTATGTAAAACTTTGGTTGGCCATTTTGCCCCCCACCCCACCCCGGGGCATGATTTCAACAAACTTCAATCTACATTATCTGAGGATGCTTCCATATAAATATGATCAATTATCGCTTTTCTATTTTGGAGGAGAAGATTTTTTTGAAGAATTTTCCTATATATTTCTATGTAAAACTTTAGTCGTCCACTGTGGCCCCGCCCTACCCCCGGGGGTCATGATTTGAGCAAACATAAATCTACACAACCTGAGGATGCTTCCATATAAATATGATCAATTTTGGCTTGGCTATTCTTGAGAAGAAGATTTTTAAAGAATTTTCCTTTATTTCTATGTAAAACTTTGATTGGCCATTGTGGACCCGCCCTACCCCGAGGGGTCATGCTTTGAACAAACTTGAATGTACACTACCTGAGGATGTTTCCATATAGGTTTCATCTTTCCTGGCACAGTGGTTCTTGAGAAAAAGATTTTTAAAGAATTTTCCTATATATTTCTATGTAAAACTTTGGTCGGCCATTGTGGCCCCGCCCTACCCCCGGGGGTCATGATTTGAACAAACTTGAATGTACACTACCTGAGGATGCTTCCATATAAGTTTCATCTTTCCTGGCACAGTGATTCTTGAGAAGATTTTTAAAGAATTTTCCTATATATTCATTTGTAAAACTTTGGTCATCTGACGTGGCCCCACCTTACCCCCGGGGGTCATGATTTGAACAAACTTGAATCTACACTACCTGAGGATGCTTCCATATAACTTTCATCTTTCCTGGCACAGTGGTTCTTGAGATGAAGATTTTTAAAGAATTTTCATATATATTTCTATGTAAAACTTTGGTCGGCCATTGTGGCCCCGCCCTACCCCGGGGGTCATAATTTGAACAAATTTGAATGTACACTACCTGAGGATGCTTCCACATGAGTTTCATCTTTCCTGGCCCAGTGGTTCTTGAGAAGATGATTTTTAAAACATGCCACCAAATTTTTATTAATTCCTAATTATCTCCCCATTGAGTGAAGGCGTGGCCCTTCATTTGAACAATCTTGAATCCCCTTTACCCAAGAATGCTTTGTAGCAAGTTTGGTTGAAATTGGCCCAGCGGTTCTTGAGAAGAAGTTGAAAATGTGAAAAGTTTACAGACAGACAGAAGGACGCCGGACAAAATGTGATCAGAAAAGCTCACTTGAGCCTTCGGCCCAGGTGAGCTAAAAAAGTGATTGAGAGTGACCAATGTCACACTATATCTCATATATACCTGCGATTTTCGGCTTTAAAACAGAAAAGAATATGTTTTACTTGTTTTATAGATTATAAGCTTGACAAGAAATGGTGTATGGATGTTGAATAGATAAGGTAACTCAAACTGTACTGGAACTCTTGGAAAATGTTGATAAAATGAAAGCTCAGATTTGTTTTATAATGCCCGTGACGTCGAAGATTTTGCTGCTCCGTGACTTACTGATATGTCCAGATAAATCACCCAAAACTGATACCAATTTACAACATTTTGATATGAAATTTTGAAGACCATATAAGTAAAGATTCTTTTATATTATGTGTGACATTTGTCAAATATTTTTCCTGTGCAACAAGTCCGCGTAATTTTTTAACAGCCCTCGTTTAAACCAAACTAAGCATGCTAAATGTATAGTTATGATGTGCAATAGTACTTCTTTCAAAATAGTGAATGCCATGGCCTCTGGTTTAAAACATAGACCAAATTCAATGGTTAAAAAGATGACCTATAAAGCCCATGGACCTCTTGTTAAATATGCTTTTCAAATTTCCCAAAGTATTATAAGAATTGTATCTGAATCTGAGCAATTAACGTACCGGGTATTACTAAAATTGTGGGTCTTTTTTTCAACTTTATCTTTATCGTTGAAGACAAATTTCCAGTTTACCTTCAGTTTTTCTATAGCTTCTACTTCAAGCAGTTTTTCTGTTTCCTGGATCCAAATCAGAGCTCTTTCTGCACTTCCATATAATTTAATCTCCAAATCTTGCCTTCGATACAGAAATTAATATGACCTATATTATTTAATACATTTAAACATCAATGAAAAACTTAATTATAATGTGGTACATGTATCTTCATCTTCATGTTTTTTTTATTTATTTAATTCTTCATTTGAATCTATTGTTCTAGTTGCAAAAAGAGTTCTCTATTTCATATGGATCAATTTCATTGAAAACAGTAAAATTGAAATTAAAATTTAGAGGGGAAGGAATACAATATCGATGATGTCAAGAGATGGAAATAAAAACAAATATTTGTTTTTCAATTAATATTTTACATTCCTTGGTAAATAAATTAAGAATCAAATTTATATTTTATTTAAAAAAACACCATTCAATAAGCCAGTAGCAACGATTTTAAAGAATGATGGTGGCAACCTTAAAAAAAAAGGTTGACAAAAGAAAGAAAACCTAAACTGTGCAAACTCGAAAATCCTATGTCGTCGGGGGGGGGGGGGGGGGGGTGAGTGTGCCTTTATAACCATTATGTACTTATTTTGATAAAGCAAGAATGTGCCAATATTAATGAAATAACTTCTATTCTGGAATTAAAGAATTTAATGAAACATGGAATTTGTTAAAAGAGGTGTAAAAAGTTTATTTGGTACCCATGCCTCCTATAGATGAAAAATAAAAATTCAGAAACGTTACTGCACATCTACAGAAAACTTTTAGTTCCAAAGTGATTGGACTACTACGGAAGATGTAATTAAGAGGGAATTCCTTAAAAAATAATGGTTTTTGATTTTTAGCTGGGCGTATTGCTCAAAGAGCAATTGCCGGTGTAAAGACGAATAATAACCCCCATCGAATAATGACCGGGGGTCATTTTTGGACAGCGAAAAATGACCCCCGGTCATTATTCGACGTAGAAAAATGACCCTTCTGCCCGTAGAAAAAGTGTCACTTCCCTAAAAATTTGCAGAACCCACGTGAAGAAAAATGACCCCGGTAGAAAAATGACCCCCTGTAGATTAAAGCTAAAATTTTTAGGGGGCAAAAAAAAAAAAATTGGATAAAGAAGCATATTGGCCAAAATGCTCACATGAGCTTATTGGGAATAAACTGATGATATGTTGATCTCATAACATTATACAATTATAGCTATATTTTAAGGTAAATGCAATGATTCAGAATCAAAAGGAGTAAAAGATTTATCAAGCCTTAAGGGTTAGGTAAACATTGTTTTTGATGGTGGAATTCATCGAACTGACAGAAAAAATCAGCAGTATTATATATTATTATATCCTCCGCTTGAAAAGCGAGAGGGTACTGCAGTATATAGTAATTGGGATGTCCGTCCGTCCGTCTGTTACGCTTTGAGGTATCCATCTCTTATCCGCAAATCCTCATATATAAAAAGATGTGTTTGTGAAACAGCTATGCCCCTGTATGGCAACATAGCGAAGATTAAACTTTTCTTAAATGCAATTTAAATATATTGTTACCCAAAGTAGGGTCTTCTCACAAGAAATACAACTGCAAAATAGGAAAGCCCTAGCACCACTTGTTCAAAAGTAATGGCTAAGGATAAGTTTTTGAAAGGTATGTCAAACTCAAAGGTCAAAGTTGACGATTTCTTAAGAAAATGTTTAATGTAACAAGGATTACATATGTGAAGTATGAATACCCTAGCCCTTACCGTTCAAAAGTTATGGCCAAGGTAAAAAAAAATTCATAACTACGGAAAACTCCATGGTCAAAAGGTCAAGGTTTTTAGTATCCAATGAAAGGTAATGCCAAAAAACTACATATTTGAAGTATGAGAGTACTAGTATCTACCGTTTAAAAGTTATGGCCAAAGTAAAAATTTGGCATTTTTGTGTAAAATGGGACAAACTCCAAGGTAATGGTCAAAAGGTCAAATTTGGTGGTACCCAAAGTAAGGTCTTGTCACAAGGAATATACATATTAAATATGAAAGTCATAGCTCCAATAAATGAAAAGTTATGGTGAAGGTTAAGGTTTTTGCGGACAAACAAACCGCCAGATAGACAGACGGACATACAGACGAACACGATAAAACTATATACCCCCGAATCTTCGATTACGGGGACATAAAGAAATGGTCTTCAATTAACTTTTCATATTAATATACATTATAAAGAAGACGTTACAACTGTTACAATGAACATGTTTGTTCTGATTTTCATATTAAATTCTCTGAAAAATATACTCAGAACTGAGTAAAAGGGTGGAGTATAACAAGAATTAAGGTAGAACCTATGTCGGAAAAGTCTTTGTCTCAAGATTTTCAAACTTTTCAAGATGAGAAATTAGTACTTGCTCATCAATCAGTTAAGATATCATGATATGTTTTCTTGTTTTTTAATCTAGAACAGGCTGTGAAACTTGGTATGGTATTTACATACTGCGACGTCACATTTTCAAATATTTTTAGGGGTACTTGTCATAAAGGGAATATGAAAAATCACAAAAATACTTCTTCAAACATCGTCATTTATAAACTTTTTTAACTGAATAATATTAAACAATATTTTATCAAGAATAATTTCTTTTTTATTCAATTAATATAAAAGATAAGTCCACCATTAAAAAAAATAGTCAAATGAACTCTATTATTTTTAGTCAATTATTCACCCTATATTTGTAAATATTTTTTAGACGTCTTTGTCACAATGTTTTCAATCTTCAATATGATGAAGAACATAGCCAAATGATTACAAAAAATGATTAAAATATATACCTTTCCCCTCTAACTAATGAAAGATAGGCTATTTACCGATACTCATATTCTTGACCTTTTTGCATTTACACGGGATTTAATAATTAAATGACTGTTTGGGGTTACTTTCAGATTAAATATTTATCAGAAATTGTACTTTTTCTTTAAAAAGATCATATTTGATAGAAAAATTGTAATCAAACACCAAGAATATGAATAGGTAACAAATAATTGTTAAAAGGAATGCACATCATTTCATTATAGATATCACAAAAATGTACACACGATCAAACGATCTACAACACGTACATCTTTGACTTAGACACATTTCATCAAGATATTACACTATATAGCTGGCAACTAAAGATTTCTTACGATTTATGTATTCCTTCAAAATGGTTACATACCATTCAAATTATTACGAAAGTTGTATGTACATTGTAATTTCATTACACTAGATAGTCTTGGGTTTGTCAACTTCAGGTCTAGATCTAGTAAATAAAAGGTGCCTACATGTTTTCTCTTATTCCAGAAATATATTGCCATTAAGCATTATAAACCAAAAAATATATGAATTGAATCAAGATTATGTTGGCATGATTGAATTCTGTGAATTTCAAAATGCAGTATTTTCTACCATTTTTATTGAAGCTGTCAAGTACGGGAAAAAGTGGCATTGAATTAATTATGACGTCTTAATGGGTTAGCACAGGTTTAACACATTTACAAGTTATGATGTCATACGAAGTAGGTTCTACGTTAAAAGAAATGTAATGAATACTGTGTGCTAAATCAAAAGTTTATGTCTACATGTATAGTTTTTGCATTAGAATGACTGTGTATTTTACACTAGCCCATAGCTTTACAGAGCATATTTTTAGGTCTTATACTTACCCCACCCCCTTTCTTATTTAGGAGGAAGTCGATATTGAAGAAAAGCAAAAAAAAAAAAACCACCCTATCTTTATTTTCTATAAGAAGGAATTAAAAAAAAGCTAAAAATAATCTTCTATTCTACTAATTTTTAACTGTTACTTTGGCAAAATACTTTCAAGTATACCTCCACCAACATTTAAAGTATGCTTTAATCATGGCGAAGTAAATTATGATATGATAGTACTTGTGTGAAGGCTTAACTTCATTTCAATATTTTATCTAGAGCCTCTTTCAGAATTATTGAAAGGTATAGAGTTTTATTTATATTTTTGCTTTTCATTTATTATTATTTTCTTGTTTTGATTTAACGTTATGTTCTTTTTTGGGGGGGGGGATAAAAATTTCTTCCTCTTTCAATGTCAAATAGGATTTGCCAAACTTAAACAAACTAAAAGTTGAAATGACGGAAAATTTAATTTTTCCTATTAAAGAGTATTTAAACCTGATTTTTGCATGGTTTGATTTCAAAAACAAGTGGAATATCATTCTTTAAGCAAACATTATAAGGAGGAATATTAAAAAGAAATTTTATTTACTTGACAATTAAAGAATCTCTTTTCAAACACAATTTTAGCATTGAAAGACTACGTGAATCTCTTAATTATTTCATACGACTTTTTGTATTTTTCTGGTTACAGAAAATGTAAAAATTAGTTTCGCTGTAAAAAAGATATCAAAGAGTGTATATTTTGTATCACTTTGAAGGGGGTAATTTTTCAATGGGGTCATTATTTTATAGGACTAACATATAAAATAATGACCCCCTAGGACCCTTTTTCTACAAAAAATGATTTTTTTTTACGGGTGGGGGTCATTTTTTGTTGAAAAATGACCCCTTGGTCATTATTCGATGGGGGTCATTATTCGTCTTTACACCGGCTTATGTGATCCTGTTCAAGGCAGGATGTTAACCCCATAGTCGCCATTTCAAAGTTACGTGCAAAAACAGTTCTTACTCTCAACCGCTTTTGAGATAATACAAACGCTTAATAAAGCAACAAAAATAAAACGAAGTTTTATCTATATAAAATAAACATTAGTAGTATTGACTTTGAAAACTTCATAAGTCGAAGAACATAGTTCATTAGCGTAAGGATTTTTGATAATCAGTGTTACCGTAGTTCTCTACACATACGAGTTAAAGCAGGAGAGGGAACCAGACTGGCCTGTTTGTTTACATTCAGCTGCGGTACCAGATTAATTCTGATTCTGACAAAATCGGACCGTGGTATTAGGATTGAAAAACTTACTGTCAGTGCTTGTCATTTATATTGATAGTTTTAAAATAATTTTTTCATCAGAATATAAACGTAATTCATGTAAGAAATCAATTCTACTCTGTAAATGAGCCCGGCTCTCTGTACTTCTGAGTACTTTGATTTTTAAGGTTTCGTCCATAGTAATATAATTTCCAGGATGAAAATTTCAATCAAAACATTGCTGCACATCCATGGGGCACAAGTAATCAATTCAAAAAGATGATTTGGCTACTCTGTGAAATGAAAGAAGAGATTTCGGAAGATGGTTTTATTAGAAAAAAACGTTCTTCAGCGGCTTATCTTGATGACACTAAATTCAGAACACAAATCGTCTCGTTCAAAATTATGATTTGATTAATGTATGAAATGTAAAATGTCTATTACTTGTCTAGTACTTGCTGAATTAATTTTAAATCAATTGTCCATTTACTTTGAACATCTAAAATGCTCCTGAAAGCAAGACCCAAGTGTTGGGCGTGCCATAAAGTAACTCAGATTTCAGATACAATAATAAATATGAACTTCGGTATCTCGAACTCCGATATCCCAAATACCATGGATATGTCGAAGACGAAGTGATTGGGAAGTCCCAACTCCTTATTCTTTAAGTATTTTACCTTCGATATCTCGAATTCTCGGCTTATCTTGATGACACTAAATTCAGAACACAAATCGTCTCGTTCAAAATTATGATTTGATTAATGTATGAAATGTAAAATGTCTATTACGTGTCTAGTACTTGCTGAATTAATTTTAAATCAATTGTCCATTTACTTTGAACATCTAAAATGCTCCCGAAAGCAAGACCCAAGTGTTGGGCGTGCCATAAAGTAACTCAGATTTCAGATACAATAATAAATATGAACTTCAGTATCTCGAACTCCGATATCCCAAATACCATGGATATGTCGAAGACGAAGTGATTGGGAAGTCCCAACTCCTTATTCTTTAAGTATTTTACCTTCGATATCTCGAATTCTCGGATATCTCGAGGTTTTTCCTCAGTCCCATCAGGTTTGAGATAAGGAAGTTTGGCTTCTATATGATATTTGAAAGAAATTCAAAAAGTATCACACGACTAAATCAGTAAGATGGTAGAAAACCCTAAGTTACGTCCGAGGTTATATGCAATGTACTAGCCATCCAAGGAACTCCGAGTAATCAATTATCGATACAACATACGTTAAGAAATTTTACAGGCCATGGGCCTATCTATGCACGCGCGCGTTAAACTGCCTAAAGTAGCTAAATTTACCGTTTCACGTGCTCAAGAGCTTGTTTCATAGGCATCATATAGTTTTGAAGAAGTTCTGCATTGCATGCTCGAAACGTTTTGTGGCGAAGGTCTTGAAGAGTCTGCAAAAAAAAAAATGATGCAAGAAGAAAATAATACACAACTCTCTTCTCGCTATCATCACTTATCACTTGATAGACTATTTAAGAAACTGAACAGAGAAATTTCTTTGACAATGAAAGAAAACGCACGCCAACATACTGTACCTCTTTGAAAGAAATTAGATCGTTAGTATCTTCTAGGTCCTGATTCTCGAAAAACTCTTTGTATTTCCTCATATCTTCTCTGAAAAGATAAGGGAAAATAAATCAGAATTTTATACTGTTAATAAAAATACATAAATCCAAACTTGTAATAGGTTTATTTTTAAACGTAGGAAATGTCATTTAAGAGTGCCATAATATTACTTTTCACCGAAGTCCTTTACGCTGGTTTCGTCAGTTTTCTTCAATTCTTCAGAGATGGAGGCGTCGTCTTCAAATTTCAACAAACAAATTTTTGAATTTAATTGATTTTACTAAGTTTTCTCTAGAGATATAGAAGAAGTCCACATTTAAAACATTACATTCTAGACGCCAATATTCCTAAAACACTGAGGAGGCGAAGTTTACCTGTAAGAGCAGCCACTTTATTTTGGAGATCAACACCCAAATCTCCATAAATTCTTGCCATTCTTTCAGCTATTTCTTGTAGTACAAAGACAACATCTGCCATCTTTGCTTTTGATATTTTCATGTCCTTCTTAGAACGTACTTCTTCCCAGTAAAAGAACAGCCGTAAAATATCGTCTGCTACGTTCGTTTGATTACCGCGGGGGAATTCTCTAGACTCCCATCCGAGTTTTGGTTCTGATATAAAATCTTTGTAGACTCCGCTTCGAAATATGCTAAAACATTCCTCTAACGCCAAATTTTCAACCTCCTTTTTTTCTCTTGCTGTATCTTTGCGTGATTTTGTTCTTTGTGATTCCTTTGAGGTCGCAATTCCTAGATCCTCTTCCTGGATGTGTTTCAACAATGCTCGAAGAAATGCTTTGCAATCAATGTGTAAAAATTTATCCAAAGAATTCCAGTTCTTATTTTCCTGGAAATTCCTTCTTTCATTGAATAAATTTTCCTCCGACTTTTCATCTTGATCCTCCTGAAATTAAATTAAAATTTATTCAAAAGACTTCAGTATTTTCTTGAATGAAACAGTATTTCTTGAGGTTTTTGTTTTATAAAAAAAATATGAAGATAACGAACACTGATCAAGCTCAAAAATACACATATTGGGAACACAACAATCAGGGTCCTCTAAAAACATCAAAGGTAGGAACAAGTGCAACGGAGGAGCAAACATAACCTGTCAACATTCGGCTTAATTTTTTTAATTGAAACTTTCACACATATTACAAGCATGTGTACAAACTTCTGCATGAATGTATGAACAAAATAAATCAGAATAAACTAATTATATATAGTTGAAACATATTCAAAATCAGTGTAAAAGTTTATTATGAAAGAGAGAGAGGGAAAGAGTAAGCTCTATATTTACATATTGTGTCCTAAAACATATTCAGTGTTGTTTAAGCTCGCCATAAGACAGAAAGAAGGGAGAGGAAGAAAGAATATAGAACAGTGCAGTTTTTAGGGATTTACTAATAACACTTTAAAGTGATTGCCAAAAAAATTTTTATGAAAATAATAATAATGAAGTAAAATAATTAAAATATAACAACCCATTTCTGTCAGAAAGTACTAAAATCTGTCAGTTTTTTAAATTATCTTTTACAGTATATTTCAAAGCTTTAGAATAGGAATTAAATAAATTCAAAAACCTTGGATATATGAACAGATATTCTTACAACGAACTTTATAAATATAATGCTTTATTAATATCAGCATAGTGTTGAAATATTCTGAAATTTCATTTTCGTCTTTTTCACCAAAAATAAATGATTTTGCATTCAAATTCAATTCAAACATAATGATAAATTGTATTTGCAGAAAAGGAAATTTTATCGACCAAAGAATTTGCGAAATGTTAACATAAATAAGATGTTGATATCCTTGTTTCAGCAACTTATTTGTCAATAGATTGTCTCGTTTTAGAAATTGATCTTAGGTAGAGCATACTGAAAAACACTTTTTATTCGCGAGAACTTTATTTGCATAATTACGCGAGACTGTCCGTTTGTAAAATATTTATTCTCGCGTTTATTTATATTGTTAAAGATTATATACCATAGAAACCACATCGAAAAAATAGAAAATTTAGTCTCGCTTATAAATACTGAATATCTATCTCGCGAAAATATGGTGTCGCGACAATATAGTGATCTACAGTATAGAAAGTCTTAAGTTCGTCAGTAATTTTTTTCTTAACTGAAAACAGAAAGCAAGGCTAACAGGTCTGCCATAGGATTTCACTTTTCATGTAATTACATTTTTCGATGAAAATCGAAGTGTGTGCTATATTTTCAAAGGGAGAAAGAATTTCGTCAGACATGAAGAATTTCATATCAGCATCCTTGTGAGACATTTGTGAATTATTCAACAAACTTAATTACTGGTTTTGGTGCAGTGTCATTTCAGGATAAGCGTTCTTTTCGGCTTAATGTTTTCATCATTAAAACCAATATTTTTAAAGAATCTCAAAATATCAATTGTGTAATTTAAAAGTTAAAATTTACATTGTCTTATTCTTGAAAAATTATTGCTATATACAATTTTTATACATAATTAACTTTTCATGAATAAAGTTTCTGGTGATATTTCCTACCTCTAGAATTGTAATGCGGAAGTCCAAATCTCCTTCCTGGAGATCAAATAAGGACAATAACGGTGGATAAAGAAGTACTTCTTGGAGATCTAATGAAATATTTCCATTCTCAAAATCCGACAAAAATAAATCCATTTCCGCGATTGAAAGGAAATTCACAGCAAGTGAGATGCATCCGGGGCTACAAATAATTGAACAGGAATATTTTCGTTCCCATTCACAGAGAAACTTCAAATAAATTGCAAAAATCTTATGTTCGTTTTTCTTTTCCTTCGCACACATCAATATTTTTCCAGTCAGGTTATTGAGAATATCTTGAAATTCGGGTGTCTCTGTCAATTGATTCAAAACGTCGTCGTGCTTTTTAAATCTACGAAGAACTTTCTTTATCTTTGATTTTTTCGATTTCTCTCTGATAGAATTCGATGTCTCATTTAAAATTAGAACAATATGATGTTGTAGTATGCTAAGATTTTGTCTTTTCCTTTCGGCCTGACTTGATGCTTCTTAATAAAAAGATAAACAAATGAATAAATTATAGTTAATGAATCAATTAATAGCAACTTGACCATTATTAAATTTACAATGAATTAAGTCTTCTTCACGTGTGAATGCTCGTGTAATGGTCCATTGAACATGGATTCCAGAAATCTAATCTATCGATTAACAAATATATGGCATATAATTAAAATTTTTACATCAATATTTAGAAAACAAAACTGTCTATCAAGAGGTGAAATTACAACTTACCTGATCGTAATTTCCAACTTTCTGTCACTTTAAGTTTCAAAAGGCATACTTCATTTTCCAGTCTTTCTAGTTTTTCTGTGACCTCTGTTTTCATTGCAGGAGTAATTGAATTATTTTGGCATCGTTTGATTTCCTCCTCATAGTTAACGTTCCTACCTACATATTCTCCTAAACGTCTGCCAATATCGACAGCAGTTGCCCAGTTTTCTTCCGACTCCATTGCTGACATAAATACTTTTGAAGCATGCACCAAATCATTTCTAAAATGTCGAATTCGTTCGACGTCGTCTCCTATGGTTGTATCACTGTCTTTTGGTTTTTGTTCCCAACCCTTTTTTGGTTTGATTTTGGGACATGTGTTTCTTAGGCAAACGTACAGCAAAGAAATGTCAAAGTCTTCATAAGGCTTTTGTGAATCTTTAGCTTTTATTATCTTATCCAAAGCATTCAATTTCTTAAAACGTTTCTTTAAAGGCTTAGAATTCATCACAGCATCAGCTAATCTGTCTGGACGGATTTCTTTCCATAAAACATCTTGGAGCATACATGTCATAACCTCAAATACTACCCAAAACCATTTTAATTGGCGATTTGTCCCGTCCGCATCATTCCCTGTGTCCATCTTAAACTTGTGATTTGAAATATAAACAATACGTGCGATTCATTATTTCTTTAATTGCCCTATATTGCAATTTTACAATTCCTGAAGAAAAGAGAGAACCTGCTGCTTAGAAACACAAAAGTTATTTAATTAAAAAAATCAAATTGTTTGTTTGTTTGTATCTATGTTATTACGTCCCTCTCGTGAATTTTTCACTCATATGGAGACGCCACTACTTGTTAACAGTGAGCTTTCAGCTCAGGTGAGCTAACAATTATTAATTAAAGGGTGTTTCTTTTCGGAAGGTAAATTACACGAACACGTGTGATAGTGACATTTAATAATCAATATTTACATTTCCAATGTCTTTGTCCGAGATAAAATTACAAATTGTAAATGTAATTAATTTCCTCATGAATATTTTGGCGCGGTTCCAAAAAAACCACGTGCAGGGCGGGACAACACCTAGAGAGAAGCAGGCTTGGAGCCCGTGGATTGGCGGAATCAAAGCATGTAAATATAAGGAATAACTGTCTTATTTTTCGAATTCATGAAGATGATCAATGGATTGGCTTGTGTGATAATTTTATGCATAAACGCCTTCGGCGTTTATGCAAATTATCACACAAGCCAATCCATTGATCACTTCATGAATTCGAAAAATAAGACAGTTATTCCTTAAATCATGACTGACCTTTGCTCTTAAATATACCCTTCTTATCAATTAATTTTAACTTTACACGTAGGTGAGGCCATAAAAATATTCTATGGTTTACATTCTAGTAAATAACACTGTACATCTAAATATATGATACAAATAAGCAAATATACCTTGAAAATTTCATCTAGTCAGAAACCGAACTAGAATCCCTTAGCTTACACGAAGAATAATAAAAGAATCACATTTGCATTAAGGCAGACAGTTAAAAAATCTATATATGAGCAATGAATCATTGTTTTTAAATACAAATTTTCATACCACGCTAACGCGTATTGGACATACGCAATTCATATAATTGCAAATGACGAATGATAAATATACATAGGTATACCCCTCTTTACTATAAAATCAACCTTGTATATAGGGATATTTTTATATATAATAGTACTTGTCATTCGTCATTTACAGAATTACATGGGAAGCGCCTACGGTTATAAGAAAATAACTTTATTAAAAAAATATTCATTGCTATATATATATTTTTGCTTTTTGTAGTGCGCGTTTTGCGTTCATTCGCAAAAGAAACGCGTTATGATGTGAATTTCTTTTAACCCTACAAAAACGAGCTCAATGGGTTTTTAACTTTATAACAATTGAAAGCAGTAATAAATGAATCTAATGAACATATACACATGTATACTTACCGAAAATACTCTTACCAAAATACAAAGTGAATGTAATCTGAAAGCGTATATATTTTTAAGAAGAGGTTGACTGTATAATTTATGAATATGCAGTAAGTAACTGGAAATCCTAATATTAAATTGGAGGAAAAATCGCGTGCAAAGGTTTTAGTTTATGTATGTTAAAACAAAAAGATACCATCACTAAAATTGATTGGTCAGAAACGAACAAACCATTAACAATTGCATTGGACTCGTTTTAAGAAATCTGATATACTCAACATCAGATATGATATTGAGCATAATATGGTTTAGTTTATCGATACTAGATCGGAAAACTATTACGTTTTGTTCAATGTTATCAAAATAAATGTTCCCGTCATAGATCAAGTTGCATGGTGATTGATATGCATTGGTTTACATTGATTTATGATAATGAAAAAATATATAGTGCACTTAAGAGAGGTAAAACAAAAACCTCGAATTAATTTTACAGTTCTTCACTTCCTTCTCCCCTAAAAATTATGGAATTTTAATTAGATGGAAATTAGAGAAAAGAGAAAGATAAAAAAAAGCTATATTGATGTTTTCAAGTAGGATTTCCCCAAAATCCCCTTTCGGAACCTGTGCCCTACATAAGAATAATATTACCCCTAGGGGAAATCTCACATCAGAGAATACTGTGAAATCACAAATTTTCGTTGGGTTTAATTTTCGTTTTTTTTTTTTTTACGTATGAAGAAACCCAACATGAAATGGAAAATGTTTCACACACAACTACTCAAAAATTTTTCATCCGCGAATTCAAATCCCCACGAACCAAGAGTTGTGTGATTTTACAGTATTGCTCAGTCTTTTTATTTTTCAGAGTAGAATTCCTTACTTTTATCAATGCTTAAAACATGTGGGCAATATTTGGCTTAAAGCTTATATGAAAATCAAATCATTTCTCAAATGAAAAATGTAAGTTTTTTTAACTCCAAAATGGTCTAATTTTTAATAATATGAGTTTTAATCCTACGAAAGCCTATTAGGATCAATCTAGAGAGAAAAAAAAATTTAAAAGGCGTTATAACTCCTTTCGAAAAGGCGTAATAACGCGAAAAAAGGCATTATAACGCCTTTTGAAAAGGCGTTATTACGCCTTTCCATTCCAAAAGGCGTTATTACGCCTTTTCAAAAGGCGTTATAACGCCTTTCTAAAAGGCGTTATTACGCCTTTCCATTCTAGAAGGCGTTATTACGCCTTTCTAAAAGGCGTTACTATACCGTTCTAAAAGCGTTATTACGCCTTTCCAAAAGGTGTTATTACGCCTTTCTAAAAGGCGTTATTATGCCTTTCCAAAAGGCGTTACTACGCCATTCTAAAAGGGTTATTACGCCTTTCCAAAAGGTGTTATTACGCCTTTCTAAAAGGCGTTATTACGCCTTTTACTTTCAATACATAACTAAACATATTTAGGCCAACTGAAGGGGGGGGGGGGGAGAGTGTGCAGAAATCGTACCTTTGGGACATGAATTTCACAATTAGATATAGGGCTAATTTCTCAAAAAATAATTTAAACAGATAGCAATTAAATTTCCATGAAAAAAGATTTTTAAATGCGTCATATATTTTCAATGTTGAACCAACTAAGTCCTTCTTTCATATCAGACACACCTCTGCCAAGGGTCATTGATTTCAATTGCTCATTATACCCATGCAAATAGTTGCCTGCTTTTTTTTCCAAGAAGAGAGAAAAATATCTTCAAATGACATAAATTTTAATACACTGTACATGGCAAACAAAGCTCCAAGATATGTCTGCCTATATTCTAGATCTTCACGAGTAGAGTGTTGCCTTCTCTTAATACGAATGCAAACAGGTGTCAGTGAGATGTGCAGGAATATAGAGAATTGCATAAATAAAGATGGTTTTAATTAAATCTTTCTATATTTATTAACATAAGATAACGCATTTTCCTTTTCATGTAGGCCAGTAATACGAGTGCGAATGGGGTAAACCCCCTCCAAACATACACACTTTTGAGGAAAAGTCTTGCTACAGTTTAAATATTATAATTAACTATTGGTTTCTTGGTTCTTGAACATTTTGTTGCAGTATGTAAAGCTGTGACAAATTATTGCATTTTAAAAAAATTTTACCGAGTATTTCCCCCACGAATTTGGCCAGTGGAGTGTGTGTGTGGGCGGGGGGGGGGGGGGCTATAAAAAGCACGGGCCGGTTAAATGCAAAATATTGGTTATTCAAAATAGCATATCTTTTTTGGAAAGGCATAATAACGCCATTTAGAAAGGCGTAATAACGCTTTTTAGAAAGGCGTAATAACACCTTTTAGAAAGGCGTAATAACGCCTTTTAGGAAGGCGTAATAACGCCTTTTAGAAAGGCGTAATAACGCCGTTTGGAAAGGCGTAATAACGCCTTTTGGAAAGGCGTAATAACGCCTTCTAGAATAGAAAGGCGTAATAACGCCTTCTAGAATAGAAAGGCGTAATAACGCCTTTTGGAAAGGCGTAATAACGCCTTCTAGAATGGAAAGGCGTAATAACGCCTTTTAGAAAGGCGTAATAACGCCTTTTGGAAAGGCGTAATAACGCCTTCTAGAATGGAAAGGCGTAATAACGCCTTTCTAAAAGACACTATACCTTAAAAATATAATTTTATGACATAACTTTCGTATCTTTTCAAGAAATACTTGAAGTCCCTTAAGTCAATGGTCATATCACAAATATGATTTAAATGCCACACTTGACCAGGACTTTTGTAGCGTAGTGTTTAGCGTGCTAGTCTCAATAGAGAATGCAATTCAGGATTTTTATTGCCAGGGTTCGAACCCAATGGATACCACATTATTTTTTATAAAAGAATAAATTTTAATTAAAAAAATTTCATGATTTCATAAAAAACAATGATAAGAACTTTACTCTAAATATTAAATTCACAATTTGAATATGATTTTTATATATCTGAAGCTTGTGGGTTTTCTGCACGCTAAGTTCACCCATCTCCTTTATTTTAAAGCTACTCCAACAGTTGTAGTATTATTGCAATCTTGCCATTTATTGTTGTTGTAAAGTTTCAAGTCCCAACTGCTACTTTTCTATTGCTCTGTGTACAAGTCAGTAGAGCTACAGTCTCGACAGAGACTTTTGATTTGTTTTTTCAAGGAATGAAAAGTAGCTATAGAGGAAATCGAAGTAGAGTTAAATCCCTCCATGGAAAACTGAATAGGTTATGTAAGATTTCAAATCTTACATTAACGTATTCAGTTTTCCGTTTTTCTGTAGGGGAAATCCTACTCAAGAGTCATTTTCCGTAGGGAAAATCCCATTTTAAAGCCAATTTCCAAGGGAGAAGATTTTAGAGAGGAAAGCCTACTCTATAAGACTGGTAGCATAGATCGATTGATTAAATATTGGCAATATTTCAGCTACATTTTGGCGTTTGCATAGACTATTAATGATAAATAAACTAACATTCATAATGTAACAAAAATATTCTTTGAGATTTAATGACAACACTAATCATGTATGTTGTAACTTTAAAAAAATTCTGGTTGCTTATATCTGACTGATATCTTGACCTTGTACAATTCAATGACAATATCAAATGTTTCCAGACGACAGACATGCAAATGATCGCAGAATGATATGATTCTGTTAATATATGCTGT